TCAGCTATGCCACAAGTACAGCGTATCTAGGCAATTTTTTGGCCTCCTGAATATAGTAGATATTAATTCATATGTCCTGCTAAAATGGCCACAAAGAGTTACAAAAATACGTCATTTCTTGAAAAAACTTGCCATAGATCAGATAACCCCTCAAAAGGAAGAACGATTAACATGGCCCTCTTTGTCCATGAATGTTCAAGTTCTCTTAGTTGGAATCTAGCAAAAGAAGCGGTCATTGCAAGAACCAAGTTCTGCTCTCACTGCTAAAAAAAGATATGCAATGTTCCCAAGAGGCAAGGATCGAAAAACCAAGGTCACCAGTGGCATGTGCCAAAAACCTATTTGCGGTGAACATACTGAGGCTATGTGTCAAGAATGTGTTACCAAAAACCATTAACAATTTTTTGGTGTTGTCTAATAAGCAGATTATTACAATAAATGATAATTGTAATTAAATTGTTTTTTATTTTTTAAGTATGAATTTTTATATACTGGGGTCCTTAAAACCCCTGGGGTAGCAATAGTGTTTCTCCTAGAATGGGTAGGGTTTAAGGGTTAAGTATATTGAACATTGCCAAACGTTACCGTTGTTGGCAACACCAACAATAAAAATTTAAAAAATAAAAAATTAAGGCTTCCGGCCGCCATTAATTATTACTTATTACTCTCTCACTACTGTTCTACTGACAGTGTGTGCTAATTGCTATTGTCTGCAATAATTAAAATCTCGCACGTAGTTCTTAATAAAGGAGTTCAATGCAAGACGCGTTTCACTGTCAAGATTATGAATTATCAACCTAAACCAGCGCAAAACTCCTACAAAATGGTCCTATCGAAGCCGTCAATCAAGATCTTGACAAGCCTACACAATGCACGTGGAAGGCCCTAGACAGTATCCAGCTCATTAGGTTGGTCACCGTCCATCTAGCCTGCAAAGTGCGTAAGTCGCCTTTCACTACCTACCAAATACCAGGATACAAGAACTACGCTTCAAGAAACACGCAACGAGCAGCAATATCTACGATTTGTGGAAAGTCATATCTACAAGGCTATAATATATTTCCCGCATTTTTATATGACTTCTACCTAAAATAACAAACACACAATTTTCTATTTGTTTGAGCATTTTTATCCTCGTATCGAGAACGTTCTTTTTGTTCCATCGTCACACACGCTGCATAATTTCGTGTGCGACAGAGAAGAAGATAGGAACAAACGAAAGTTAGAACGAGACGTATATCGAGGCGTGCTCGACTTTTCCGGTCGGTACCATTTCTTCGTCACGTTTCCTGGCTTGGAGAGCGCAGGCGAGTCAAACGTCAACGTCAACTTACGTCAGCTATACTACGCTGCGACAATCAATCAGCGAGCTGCAATTGGGTGGCCGCGATCATACTGTAACGTGATTGGCCGAAATTCGTTCTCTACGTAGCAAAATCACCTATTACATCCGACGGCGCCTGCGACGCACAACAAGAAGACGCCGACTCCATTTGAATCGCTAATTGCAAAAAGGCACATGGTGAACATTTCGTCGAAATCACTTTTTTGCATATTTTACGAATGTATTTTGTCGTTATACATCATTTCTGTAAAAAGGACACATGAGCAGCTAACCAGCATAGAGATATTGAACGCAGAGTTTAGTAGTTTGTTGCATAAAAGGCACATGGTCGTGAGCATGTGCCCTTTTTACAAAAATTGTATGGCAATACTAACCTATCAATCATCACAACTGTCAATGTCAAAATCGATGTGAGGATATACAAAGGTACTCTGTGATGTGAGGTCAGTGAGTGTGGTGTTTTCTAACGTGATAAAATACTTATATTTTGTGAATTACACTTGATATAATGGACGAAAATAGCCGCAAAAGAAAAAAACATTTCAAACCACGAAAATTACAAAAGAAATGTAATAAAGAAGGCAAAAATTTTGGGCGAAAGTCACATAAATTAGGCCGGCAAATGCGTGCCCGCCAAAAATCTTTATAATACTTTTTATATTCCTGTCACTATGGTATTTTTTCATATTGTATTATAAAATAAATTTTTATTTTCCAGGTGCAAGGGCAAATGTTTAGCAAAAATAAATCCTCCAGAACTGTTAGATGATGTCCTTCTCATGTTTTATGGACTTGACGTTGGATGAACAAGACCTTCACTTGCAAAAAATGATAGAAATTGCATCAATTTCAAGATCACGAGCTCGTGCTGATACACTGGAATGTGATCGGAAACCAAAATCAAAGAATTTCAAATATTTCTTGTTGCTTGGCGCGATACGTACGCAAGTTTGTAAAAACGCATTCATCAATGTTCACAACATTACAAGCAAAAGGGCAAGAAGAATTTCAAATTTATTAAAAAAAAATGTTGTGCTTGTAGATGGTCGAGGCAAGAAAAGCAGTGTCAATGCCATGCCCTCTGATATCATACAAAAATAGATGGGCATATTAAATCTTTTTCAATTCGCGAATCACACTACACAACACAATCATACTTTTATCTCAGTGCTAATCTAAATATTAAAAATATGTACAGATTATTTATTGAAAAGTACCCTGACCTGAAAGCCAAAGTGCTTTACACATTCTATTGGCAGTATTTCAAAAGAAATTTCTGTCTAACATTCGGAAAATCTGCATAAGATACTTGCTCAAAGTGTGAAGAATTAAACGCAAAAATTAAAAGTGTTTCTTTGAATGATGTGGCTAAACGAGTTTCAGTAGCAGAACTTTTAGTTCATAAAAATAGAAGTAAAAAATTCTATTCAACTATGGATAACAGTTCCAAATTAGCCAAACAAAATAAAAAAAATAGCTGCACTTTGTTTTGATTTTATGGCTGTGCTAGACTTGCCTAAGATACCTGTGCAAGAAGTATATTATTACCGTCAGCTCGGTGTGAACACCTTTGGGGTTTATAATACAGGAAATGACAAGGTAACTTGCTATGTATTTCATGAAGGAATGGCAAGGAAAACACCTGATGATGTCTCTTCATTTCTATTACATTACTTTAACAATTTTTTAGACCCTGAAGTAGAAGAAGTGCACATTTTTTGTGACAATTGCTGGGGCCAAAACAAAAACCATGCTCTTATAAGAATGCTGATGAGTTTGATAGAACTTGGTTTATTTAAAAAAAATTAAGCTGCATTTTCCTCAACGTGGCCACTCATTTTTGCCATGTGACCGATCATTTGGTCTCATTAAAAGAAAATTAAAAGAATTTGACAGACTTTACACAGTAGAGCAGTATGTGGATGAAGTAATAATGAAGTCTTCCAATATTCAAGATAAGTTTACTGTGTTTCTAGCAGATTCTTCAATTATTTATGATGTCCAAAACTGGTACCCTAACTTTTATTATAAAAATAAAAAAATCTGAAGCTCGAGGTGGCTCATCCTCAGTTCCATTGACAATATCAAATTACCATTATTTCGAATTTAATGAAAAAGGAGCCAAAAGTTTTACTACTAAACTAAAGAATTTATTGGTGGCCTATTATCACATTATTTTCATTTGAGAAAACCCACCATAACTCCATTACACTTGCCATCAGAAAAACTTTATCAGAATAAATACCTCTGTTAGAATGTAAAATGGTAGATTTAAAAAAAACTTAAGCCTTACATTCTTTCAACATATAACACTTTTTGGAATGAACTTTACGAATGGCCAACTGAAAATCGTACAGAAAGGGATAGTAGAGTGCATAATTAATTTGTATACTCATGTAAGTTCACAGCTCAGCTTAAACAAGTTTAGTAAATAAACATTATTTGAATTATTCTTTGTTTAATTTTCTATAAAATTTTGTATGAAATTATAATGCTTTTTCTGCATAAAGGACTCATGTCCAATGGTAACAGCAAAAAGGAAACATGTCCATGTTTTCTTTTTGCAATTTAACAATAAACTAAATTAATTTGAAAAGAAAACTTCATTTATTCTCATAGAAAATACCAATATAAATGTTCCTAAAAATAAAATATGTTTTATTTTTATTAATTATAAAGTAAAATAGTTTTTTGTCTCTCTTGAACATTTTACAAGTAAGGACATGTGTCCTTTTTGTAATTAGCGATTCATTTGTGTTACGAGTTCTCTCTGTAATTAATTGTAGAATAATTTTTCAACATATTACTCGATTGTTTCACGGTGCATCTAGTTTTTAAGTATTGTAATTGTATTTACAAAGTGGTACACTAGTATTGTAAGCATAATGAGCAACGACGATGAAAAAGCCGTTAAGTTAAAACAATTGCGTGCCTCAAGAGGCTATACGAAAGCCTCCATTACGCGCTTATATTCCTTCGTATCTAATGTACAGGACGTCGAGCTTAGCACTTTATCAATCTTACAATCTAAAAGAGCACGTATCACCGAATTGTTTACCGAGTATGAATCATATAATAAGGAGATTCTTTTTTATGATGAAAATGACTCTGAAGATGTCGCCGATTGTGAATCCAAGTATTTTCACATATTAACCGTGCTTAACGAAGCCATAAAAGGCAAGTCAACGCCAAATGCAGAGGCTAATACAGTTTATAAAACAAAGTTACCTACTATTCATATCCCAACATTCACAGGTAAATATAGCGATTTTATCCCTTTTATAAACCTTTTTACTGCTATCGTCCACAAGGATAGATCGATTATCTTCGTTCGTTTTTACAAAAGGAGCCATTTGATCTAATAAAGAATCTACCCCTGAGCCCTCAAAGCTATGATGAAGCACTTAGAATGTTAAATGATAGGTACAATCATAGGTTCAAAATTGTAAATGAACACATTAATTCATTGTTAGATATGAATGCTCTGCTCAGATTAACCCCAAGTAACTTGCGTGATTTTGTTTCTCATGTCAGACAATGCTCAGCTGCTTTAAAAAATTTAGATGTGAACACTGAAACATGGGATCCTGTGATTCTAACTATTTTATATCGTAAATTAGATACACATCACGAGCTTACCAATTGGAGCGTGGCAATGAGTCCGATCCTACTATTAAGGTTCATAAGGAAGTTCCTGCTGTTCCTGGAGAAGCGAGCCTTGGCCCTGGAGAATGCAGAACCTACTACTGCCACCAAGACTCACTACAAGCCGGTGGTGAATGTCGCTACACCTGCAGCTCTTTCATGTGCTTATTGTAAGTCTAATGACCACAAATTATTCAATTGTAAAAGCTTTAAACTGTTGTCCTCTGCAGACAGAATAAATTTGAGCAAGGAAAGTAAATTATGCAATGTATGTATGAATGATCACTATACTATACTATACATAATGTAAATGTAAATATCATTTCCGGTGCAACATTTGCAACAGAATCACAATACATTACTTCACGATGAACTTTCTCACAAGCAACCTGTCACTTTAATTTCTAATATTGACAGCAATAGAGTCTTGTTGCCCATTGTGAAACTAAAACTTTATTCTCAGAGCGGAAGAGAAGTGCACATCAAGGCGATTTTGGATTCAGCGTCTCAGGTATACTTAGTAACTAAAAAAGTTATAGATGCACTCCAAATAAAAATAATACAAATATAGTAGGGGTCAGCAACACAAATAATGTTGCAAAATATTCTGTCCTCATCGAGGTTTTCTCGCTTACTTCACCCTACAATAAACCGTCACAATACAAAATTGACTTGGCAGCCATCATTATCCCTCCAGAACTAAATTTAGCAGATTCAGATTTTCACATGCCATCAGAAATAAATATGCTAATTGGAGCCGACATATTTTTCCAGGTGCTGCTCCCAGAGCAACAGCCAGCTCTTCAGCAACCTGCTTCAAGGCATACTGAGCATGAGGCTCAGCAGCCACGCTTCATTAATACTAAATTTGGGCATGTAATAGGGGGTGCCTTGCCAAGGAACAACATTTTTAATAATACAAGTAAGGTGTCTTTATTATGTATTAATTGCAACTCTGATATTAATGAATCTATACAGCGTTTCTGGCAAGCAGAAAGTGTCCCAGAAAGGTTTATTGAACATTTTCCAGAGCAAGAATTATGTGAAACTATTTTTCAAAATACAAAAATTCATAAAAATAATAAGTTTCAAGTCGACCTTCCATTAAAATTACCTTTAGATAAAATTAATGATGCTCTTGGAAATTCATTTGAGTTTGCATGTTATAGCTTTTTAAACTTGGAAAAGAAATTACACAGTAATATTAATTTAACTTCCGAGTATAAAATATTCATAAATGAATATGTAGAATTGGGGCACGGACACTATATTGATTTCAATTCATTCGATTTTTTTTTTATTTCATGCCGCATCATGCTGTTGTTAATGAGAATAGTAAAAGCACAAAAACACGTGTGGTTTTCGATGCATCCATGCAGCCAGATAAAAAATTGTCACCTAATGATATTTTGCTTAATGGTTCTCCAGTCCAACAAGAACTTTTTGACATCATGCTTTTGTTTCGCTTAGGTGACTACACCTTCTCCACTGATATACGGCGAAAGTTTCGTTGCATTGACATTAACCCAAAGCGTGCTTGCTTGCAGAATATATTGTGGAGAAGTAACCCTACTGAATCGATTAAATGTATACAGTTAGATACTGTTACCTATGGTCAAAAAAGTTTTCTTGCTACACGTTGTTTACATGAGCTTGCTACAAAATATCAAAAGTGATTACCCACTTGCTTCCTATATATTAAAGTATAGTACTTACGTGGATGACGCTTGTTACTCACACTCGGATTTAAATGTTGTTCTTGACGCTAAACGGCAGCTTTGTGAATTACTAAGTAAAGGGAGCTTTTATACCCATAAATGGGCTTCAAACTGCGAGCAAGTCTTGAGTGATATCTCACCAGACAAACAACAGTTTGACAACTTAGAATTGCAAAAAAATAATATTTGTATGAAAACATTAGGGCTTACACACAATGTTTCAAAAGATTGTTTTGTTTTTTCTTGTCCAGAGCAATTTAACGAAAAACAACCTACTAAAATGAACATCTTGAGCTATATTTCTAAGCTGTTTGATCCATTGGGCTTGGTGTCCCCCACAATACTAAGGGCCAAGGCTTTTGTGCAAAAATTATGGAAAAAAAAGGAGTGGCTTTCTTTCGCAAAAAATATCCGAAATGAAACCAATAAACATTCATAGAAATATAAAGATTCCAGAGGATACAGCAGCAGTTCAACTCATAGGTTTTGCCGATGCCTCTATCACTACGGGCCATGGTTGCTGTATATACTTGCGAGTGGTCAAAAATCAGGTAAAGTTTCACTTTTTTTGCTCTGCTCCAAGTCTCGAGTCAACCCCTGTAAAAACAAGTCATTGACAATACCGTGATTGGAATTAAATGCTATGGTATTACTAACAAAACTAATCAACCGAGTTCATAAGACACTCGCTCTAAAAGTTGATATACAGAAAACCTATTTATTTTCCGATTCGCAAATCGCACTTGCTAGGTTCGCTACAGAAACATTGAAAATTGGCGCTTACGTTGCAAATAGTGTACGGTTGATTCGAGATCTGACAGCGAGGTGGCGCTGGCTATATGTACATACCACTGACAATCCAGCTGACCTCGTAAGCAGAGGGAAAGACCCAGACGAGCTGGTAAACTGTGAGCTGTGGTGGCGAGGTCCGCTCTACCTACAAAACGGTGAGTATGTTTTTAATAAAACCTCTACCACCACCACCGGCAGACTTACCTGAGGTGAAAAAGGATGATGTAAACTTCACGGCCAAGGTTTCCCTCCTTACGCAAAATAAGGACGATTTTTATACTTTTCTCGATAGGTTTTCGGATCTCAATAAAATGACACGTGTTCTAGCATATATATTCAGATATTTCCTCAATCTTAAGTTACTTAATGAAGTAGGTCGAGTACTTCATTATCTTCTTTTGAGCTGCAATATGCTTTACGCAAAATTGTACAAGTGAGCAGAGCATTCATTTCAAAGAAGAAACCAAAACCTTAAAATTGAATAACGAAAATGTAAACGGCTTTTTACAACTACTTCACCCCTTTCTAGACAAAGAGCACATCTTAAGAGTAGGTGGCAGGATAGAAAACTCTGATGTATCTTTTGATAGAAAACACCCTATCATTCTACCTAGAAATTCACGCATCACTGACTTAATTATTAGCCATGAACATAAAAGATTGTTACACGCTGCACCAAAATTATTATTATCAAGTTTAAACCAGAGATACTGGATTGTTAATGGTTATAGATATGTGAAAAAGCAAATTCATAATTGTTTAATTTGTTATAGAATAAAAAACGATTGTGCCAAACAGCTGATGGGTTCCTTGCCACCTGAAAGAGTAACAGCTTGTAGAGCATTCCAGAAAATAGGAATTGATTTCACGGGACCAGTACAAGTAAAAAATTCTCGACTACGACGTGCTTTAAATACAAAGGGTTACATCTGCGTGTTTGTCTGCTTTGTAACTAAAGCCATACATCTCGAGCTCGCATCAGATTTAACCACTGATTGTTTTCTTGCTTGCTTTAAACGGTTAATCGCGCGAAGGTGATTGCCTACAGATGTGTTTTGTGATAATGGACGCTCTTTCAGAGGGGCAAGGAATGAATTGGTTCACTTATATAAGTTGCAGTCGTCACAAGTGCACCAACCACAAGTCCAAAATTATGCGGCACAACAAGGTATAAATTTTCACTTTGTGCCCAGTTACTCGCCCGTGTTTGCTGGACTTGCGGAGGCAGCAGTCAAAAGTATGAAATTTCATTTAAAACGTATCATACAAGGATATGTATTAACTTATGAACAGCTAAATACAATTTTGTGTCAAATAGAAGCTGTTCTCAATTCTAGACCACTGTTGTAACAGTTGATGATGTAAATGACTTTAGCTTTATTACACCAGGCCCTTTTTTTATTGGTACTGCATTAACCTCTTTCCCTGAAAGAAATGTTGTGGACATACCTAATGCTAGGAAAAATTCTGGGAAATTTGTAACAAGGTTAAGGGCCATTTTTGAAAAATATGGCACCATTATTATTTAAATATTTTGCAGTCTCGCCCTAAATGGCGTGACAGTTTGCCCAATGTAAAAGTAGGAGCCTTAGTGATACTTCGACAGCCAAACTCCCCGTCTCTGTCATGGCCAATGGCCAGAATTATAAAGGTATATCCTGGGAAAGACCACAAAATTCGTGTGGTAGATGTTGTGACACCTAGTAAAAAAATATATAAGCGTTCATTGAGCAGCATAGCTATACTTCCTTTAGAATAAAATAAACACATGTGTTATAGCATAACTATACAAATCCTAGCTATAATTAATTATCTTTAGAATACTTATCTTAAGAATAATTTATTTATGTAACTTAAGTATATAGGGTGTCAGAATAAAATGTCTTAGTAACTTGCCTTTTGAAAATGTTAAATGATGGCAATATGCTGGTTTGCTTGAATAGGGCATTTAAATAATAATAAATATAAGAGAAGACTCAGAAGTCTTGTTTCAAGGCTGTGACCCCAGCATGTTGGCAACAACAACAATAAAAATTTAAAAAATAAAAAATTAAGGCTACCGGCCGCCATTAATTATTACTTATTACTCTCTCACTACTGTTCTATTGACAGTGTGTGCTAATTGGTATTGTCTGCAATAATTAAAATCTCGTGTTCCATCATATTTCTCAATAAAGGTGTTCAATGCAAGACGCGTTTCACTGTCAAGATTATGAATTATCAACCTTAACCAGCGCAACACTCCTACAACCGTCCACCGTCCACCATCCACCGTCACTTATATACTTATATATTTATTAGATATCGGAAATCGGAGTATTAATTCATTTCATTTATATTTTACTTCGTGATATTTATCACGCGGGTACTTTACAAATATGGGCCCCCCATTTATTTGGGTATTATATTAAATTTTCATAACATACTAAGGAAAACTAAGTTCACACCATGATCCAATGAAGGATATAACCTCTACGTACCATTATTAAGGGTAACAAATTTAAGACTTCTCTGGTCGCTAAGGCCGTGTTCAGACGCCACGCGCCCGCCCCGCCCACGCCACGCGCTCCTCGCACCCGCGTCAAACTCGCTTTGAAATTTGTTGATTTTATTTGAGTCGTGTTTTTTTTAAATAAATAAAATGATGAATAATATCGATAAAGAAATATTCATTTCTTTGGTGGAGGAAAGGGATGTGCTGTGGGATAAAACCCTCGAAAGTTATAAAGACAAAAGAAAAACTCTACAGGCTTGGCGTGACATATGTACATTGATCAATGAGGATTTTGAAACGCTGCCTGATGTGGAAAAAAATAAATACGGTATGTATGTTAGCATATTTTTATTAAATTGTATTTTATCATTTAAACTAACAATATTTATTTTGCCATGGTACTCTTCCCTGCTCAGACATAAAGTATTCCGCAAAATGATTACGAACTGTACTTGCTGGTATCATATGTTGTATTGATTGCGACCTTAGTAAAGCCGATATTTCAGGACCCAGATTGATGATTAATTCTTCAGGCATACCCTCTTTTTTTATGTATAAAATTTTGTAGTAAACAACATGTCTATGATTTTTACTGCTAAATCAAGTGACACATCTGGAGGACGATGGAGAATTCGCCATTTATTAGCCATAATGCCAAATGCACATTCTACGTATCGCCTTGCCCGGGTCAAACGGTAATTAAAGACCGATTTAGTCGCATCCAGCTGTTGACCACTGAATGGGCGAAGTAAGTTTTCGTGCAACGCAAAAGCCTCGTCCCCAACAAAAATGTAGGGTAGATCGACATTTGATCCTTCCAGTTGTGCAGAGGTTGGCAAATTTAACGTCTTGTTCACTAAGCTTTTCCAAAAAGTAGTCTCCTTGAAAACATTTCAATGAAAATATAATTATAATTAGTGTCAACTACCGCCATTAAAACAATTGAAAATTAATGTTTGTAATTTAAAAACATCAATCCACTTCTGTTGGGCTTTACAACTCTTATGTGCTTGCCATCAACAGCACCTAGGCAATGAGGAAAATTGGCTTTTAAACAGAAGTTGCGAGCAATTTCATACCACTCATTTTCAGTTGGTACTTTCATATATGTTTCTGACAATTCTTCCCAGATACCTTGGCAAACATCTCTGACAATAGAACTTAAAGTACTTTTTACGTTTCACAATCTGTATCGTAGATCAGCGAAAGTGTGGCCAGTTGCTAAATACCTGAAAAATAAAATAAAATAATTAATAATCAAGCTATACAGGGTGTAAAGCAAAGGATATAAAGGGTGTAAAGGATATATTATTATGTCCGAAAACTTTCACAACATCATTGCCTGAATACCCCCCTGGCATGAATGGCAAGTTAAATAAATAAATTTCACAGACAATAAACACAGCGCCATCTAGCCCATAGTAAGCATACTATAGCAGCTTGTGTTACGGGTCTTGACAACGGATATAAATACAATTATATATACTTTTTTTAAAATATATACTTATGTATCATAAGTATATATTTAAAAAAAACAAACTAACACCCAGGCCGAAAACAAGCACCTACGTTCGTCACATAAATGCTTGTCTTCCGTGGGAATCGAGCCCACGACCTCGAGATTACAAGTCCAACGTGTAAGCCGTTGGACTAAGGAGGTCATCAGTTGTTATTATAATAAAATATTTAATTTTTTTTTTTATATTATAAGGGGGCAAACGAGCAGTCGCAGCCATTTTCATGACTACCGACGCCCATAGACATCTGTCTGGATGTTATACAGATACGTTGCCCTCCTTTCCCCTCCCCACCCCAAGGGCCACCGGATACTTACACAACGCACGAAACGCGACAGCTCAGCTGCCACTTTACGCCGGTATCGTGTAAGCGAGAGGTACTTCCCCGGTCATGCCGGGCCAATTCGGCTACATGCATGCATGCAGCGTGGCACTACCTCTTTCAAGATCTGTTTTACTTATTTACAGGAAAACTGGTTGTGAAAAAGTGGAAATCGATGAGAGACGAATGGATGAAATGTCATAGAAAATTAAGCGCGAGCAAGTCGGGATCGGGAGCTAATCCAATAGTTCATAAGTACACGTACTATGACAACATGAAATTTTTGTCAAAAATAGCCCAACATAGGGATACTGAGTCAAATATGCAACCAACCTTTAACACTGAAAGTGACGACAGCCATGATACACTGATCAGAAAAAGGAAGAAAGAACAAGTTCATAAAGAAAAAGATTTGAGTGCAGTAGATAGAAGAATGATTCAATTTATCGATTCTATGCAAAAAGAAGAAAAGAAAACCGATGACAGCAGAATTATGTCATTTTTCAAGAGTATTGCTCCAACAATAGTGAAGTTCAGTGATGATGAAGTTGTCGAATTTCAATATCAAGTTATTTCAATATTACGGAATTTTAAACAAAGAAATATAAATAGCAACACCAGAATCTCAAAGTATACACCTGCAAGAATCCATCCAACTTCAGCCAACCTATGATACTGAAGCTTATGGATATTTTACTGCACCTGGACCTTCTAACGTGAGAAGCCAATCTAGACTTACTACTTATAGTTCTGAACTATAATTTGACTCTTACACTCGAGTTGGTCAAAGTCAACCCAGTGTGCAATCCAGTATGAGTGACGACCTCGACTTTGCGACGCTGAATAATTAATTTTATTATTTTTCTACTCCGACATCTACCGCTATGATTCAAGATAATGATAGTATTTGATTAGTGTAATTACTTTACCTTACATTTTCTGAAATTAAAAAAATTATTAAAACAAAAAAATGTTTTATTATATATCACGTCGGTCACGTTCAAAAAAGGAGTCATAGTACTATAGTTTGAAATAATTTATTCAAAAAGGTCATGTGCTTTATTCTATATGTTTGTGCTTGTTTATATAAATTATAAACCTTTTAGAAATACAAAAATATTTCAAACTATACGCTCACGCAAAAATTTTAAGCGAAATCATGACTACTTACCTCAAAGTTACAACCAGTCTTTCGGCAGAAGAAATACTATCTCGCATAACTGTGTGCTGATGCTCCAGTTTAATATTTAAAACAGACAGTAATTTATCAAAAGTCCTTTTAGTCATTCGAAGATAGCCATAAAATCCGTCATCATAATTGCGTAATTCCGCAAAAAGGACATGAAATTCGCCATGCTTCTCTCTGCGAGTTAATATAAGGTGAATCCAATATCTTCGTGTGGAATTAATCTTACTGTCTTTTTCTTTCTTCCAATGTTTATACATATAGTATATAATTAGAACTTTGTTTGACTTAGTCAAATCCATTTTATTTCAAACGTTCTCACGTTGTGACACCTGGAAGCCACTACGTCTACTGAACAAAGTAGTCCAGTCACTAGTAGTTTATGCGTGCGCGGGATGTGCGCGAGGCGTGCGCGTGGCCAGCGCAGGTGTAATGCGGGCACAACGCGTGTGCGGGTCCTGCGCGTGGTCGACGCGTGTCATCTGAACGCGGCCTAACAGTATTAATATAAGTTCGTGTACATCACTTGTACTGAAAGTACTGTTCCCTAGTACCCGTTATACCCAATTTTATCATCCAATCACGTAAACATACCCTGTTTGAGGACTCTACGTTATACCAGTGATGGACGTTCCCGTATCTCTCCATTACTCATTTATTAAAGTCAATTATTTTCTTTTATATTTAATCCTTTCCATGCATAAATCTTGCTCCTAACGGCTTCAATACATGATAATTACTAGTTTAAGCATCATCAAATATTTGGGTGATCAGTCCAATAATGACGAAACTTAACCACTCAATCATTCGTATTCCCATTTTTAAACATCTCTTCCTTTCATTCCTCACATATTTTAAATACATTCTTGCAATTTTTACTACAAAATGGAATCATATTTTTTCAGTCGAATTTTAACTCTGTTATGAAACATTACTATTGAAAACTCTCTTAGGCCTACGACATACAAACTTTATAATAGAATAGCATTTTTTAGTCAGTTTCCCTTTCCGTTCGATGTTTATGTTTGGTACACATGTGTATGCTAATCGAGTCTACAGGTTAATTACGATGTGTACCCTACTAAGGATATGCTGTATTATGTACATGTATATTTTATGGTTATTATTCTTTATTAGTAGAACTCTTATACGACAACGACCTACTTAGTAATAAATAATATTTTATGAATTACACATAATTTTTTTTAAATATAACTTCATACAAAATTTGAGATAAGATTGAGATAATTTGACATAAACACTTATATATAAGCACACACTACACAGCAGAATCTGTAACCGAAGTAGACAGGTATGATAAAGCAAAAAAGGAAAAAATCTAAATTAATTGCCCTTACGTAATCAAAGAGTATAATGCCCATATGGGCGGAGTTGATCTCGTTAATTGCTAGCTTCATAGGAAAATATCGAATTTCTGTGAAAAGTCGAAATTTGTATCTCCATATCTTTTACCACTTATTGGATATGACTGTAATAAATGCATGGCTGACATACAAAGAATTGAAAATGACTGAAGCAAACCCATTGATTTTAAAATTATGTCAATACAGGCTCGAACTGAGGGAGGTATTGGGAAAAGTTGGTAATGCATCTGAGCTCTGTAATAAGAGAAAAACCCAGCACTAGTAGCAGTGTTAAGGACATTCAGGCAAAAAAAACGAGGTCCACTATTAATGTGTACCTACTATAATAAATGCATGATGTAAAATTGCAAGTGTTTTTTTTTTTGACAATTTAGGTATTAAATATTGGGACATGAAATTAGCGTTTTGTCGTACAAACCACTTCGATCTAAGTGGGATTAGGCGCAAATGCAAATGCTTAGGCGTAAATGACTAAGTGGGCTTAGGCGCAAATGATAAATTAGCAAAATGGCCACAATATAAATTGAAAAAATTGGCATACAAATTTTTCTAAATGGCAAATGCAAATTACTCAAAATGCACATTGTTGAAATTCATTTTCTCAAAAAAAAAAACACGTGATATAAAAATAACCATGAATTTTAATTAAAAACTTATTTGTTTCAAATTTAAGACTACAAAAAGATTCTAAGCACTAAAACCCTGGGACATCACAAACAAAGCGTAATTGCCATGAGTTAGATTTTTTTGTTTTGTAATTATATAAAAATAAAATGGCAGTTTTTTTTTATTACAGAGAAATCACTGACGATGTGCTATTGGTTGAATTATCGACCGAATCTCGAGAATATATACCCACCAGTTCATCGAAGAGTCGTTGACATAATGCATTTTTCCAGCAGCTGCGAATTATATCGAGCCATAGTTCTTTGTTCAATTGTAATATCTTATATTTACGCGAACAATACACATTTAAATACCAGTTTTTACGGATTTTATCGCGTATATTTAACTTTTTAAATACCAGACGTTTCGAGCACTTTACAGCACCCATGGTCACGGGGGGGGGGGAACTGAGATGTTCAACGTCCAGATGTCATAGTTAACCGCGGTTACCATAGATAAAAAATTAACTTTTGCTCCGATCTACACAGTATGTCACTACTAGCAAAAAAAAAGGATTGGCTTGATCTCCAAATTTAAGTTTAGATGCAATATGTGTAGAAACAACTTTATTGTCACAAGCTAGAATTTATCAATTACACATAATGTCAATGGGTGTCGTAACAGGAATTACTTCTGCTGGTATCGTTCGTCGTCGTTTTTATCAATTTTAAGAAATTGCAGTATATATGGACGTATCCATATTCACGAAAACAACTTATGTTCAAGTTCAAAACAAAGTTTATGAAAAATGGGAGACATCTGTCGAGTCCATGGCGGCAGCAGCTATACGTGAGCATGATGCAGAGGTAGCTAAAGGAACATTGCGCAAAGATGGCATTTCTTTAATAGACGTATATGACGATGCCTGTTGGTCATCGCGATTCTATGTCAATCATTACAAGGCATTGTCCGGCGTTGCAGCAATTGTAGGTCGCAGATATGGTGAAGTGTGATTTTTAGGCATTAAAATCAAATACTGCCTTGTAGTCTGATTGTGCAGAGAAAAACACATTGCTGCACCAGAACACGTTTGCTTCAAAAACTACACGGGGTCATCTAGCGGAATGGAGTCTGAAATAATTTTCCAAGAATTTGAAACATCTGCATCGATATATAATGTTATTTATGGCAGGTTAATTTCTGACAGCTACATATGCAAAAATCTTGGCGGGTAATACTTAACCGTCACAAAACCTCATAAAAAATTCTTCAACATGATTATGGGGCTTAGAGTACTACTTCAGATTTGACACTGGATAAATTAAATGCCGCTAAAGAACCATTTCTTCAAAATCTAAGGCAACTAACTTCGGACAAAAATAAACAAAACAAGTATCTACTATAAATCAGAGAGATAGCGATGACTGGGTAGAACTAACTACTGAAATATGCTAACAGCATCGAATTTCGGAATAGTAGAAAAAGAACATCTCGCTTTACAGCAATTGGCTATTCATGAAAATGTCACCATTGAGCCTTGCGGGTTGTTCGTGGACGAATTTCCGTTTATTTTAGCAACTCCCGATGGTTTGATAGCCAAGACACAGTAGTCGAAGTGAAATGTCCTTTACTGGTATTCAAAAAGGATCTAGAAGAATGTATAAGGGAAAACAAGATACAGGTATGGAAATACCGATTTTTGAATTATGAAATGTGTTTAATTTTGTTGTGTAATGAAACTCATTACGTTTATTATGCCAACCTAACCCGAGTGTTTTTGTTTGCGTATGTTCGCCTATAGCTAAATCTTTAGATTGTGCCTCCACAGTCTCGTCACAATTGAATGTCCACTTGCGCAATGGATAGCCGTATTTACTCAAAATGTATGACGTTTTTTTACAGATGTCGATTAACTTTTTCGGATCATCGTGTGATGTTAGGAAATCGTCCACGAAAAAATCTTCAGGTACAATAAAAAAAGTGAACTGATTGAAGTTAACAAAACAATAATTGGTACCATCAGATTCAAAGGTAGATCCACGTAAAACGTGAAGAAGTGCTTGTTTGCTGTGTGGAGTGGTGAAAACAAGCCACTAAAACAGAAATTATAAAAAATGACGATTTTTGAGGATAAAAGAAGAAGAAAAAGATGGTGTGTACATTCATGGATTGGCTTTTGCATGAAATAGTTCATTCTCTGTGAGCGCGTGGAATGCCACTTCGATAAAAAGAATCGTTATTAGTAGTTAAATCAAGTGACGACACAACGAAAATGCCCCTTGTTGTAGTAGAAGACTGAATTTTGAAGAATTGTGACACAATAGTAGGACAGGTAGGTTGTCACTGTCTTTTTGTTTAACAGCTAAGGCTGAGCGCAAACTTGAGATACGACAGTTTTAAGACAGACAGGCAAAATTTTTTAATGCCTACATGAACTGTTTGGCGACAAGTCTGACTAACGACTGTCGGCTTTCCTTTTGTATATATGAGGGCGCGCACATCAATCAAATCAAATCAAATTCATTTATTTTACATAATACAGGTATAAGAGTTGTTACAAAAAAATTAGAATATGTACACTGTATTATTACCTTATGAGGTGTGCAAATACTTTACAATATAGTCTACGCATTACTAATTCAATAATGGTGCTTTGAAATAAAATTAAGAATAAGAAAAAAAATATTGTCAATAGTTGAGTCTATAGTGCTAATTGTTGTCATACTAAATACCTTGATATTATATAAACTCGAAATTAAATATTTTTGATAATACGAATAATCATATCCAAAAATGTTGTCAATAGAATAATTGCGCCCTCCTTTCTGCCAAGGAGAGTCGCGTTTGTATACGGCTTAGAGATCTCTAGTCAGATCGTTAAGCCAATTCCTAAAAAGGCGGTGTTTAGTGGGTAAAAGTCTCCACATAACCACGCTACCGGCTGCGTGGTATGCTATGAGCATTCACCGCCTCCCTCCCCCCGCTTTCCGGAGGGTTGCCCATATTTGCTTCGGGCGCAAAAAAAAATCAATAGAATAACAGTCTGGCGACATACTCCGCCTTTTCTAGTCTCGTCCGGGCGTTCAGAGAATAAACACATCGCGATGATACAGCGAGACCTGAGGGCCTAGACAAGTGGCATTCGCTCCGTGTCTAATCCATTTCTGAAATCTATTTCGACTTAACTATATCGAACTTAAAGTGGTAGACAAGGTGACATAACGCTAAGTCGAAGCGTTCATTCTACCAAAGTCAACTTCTTGGCTATGGTCTCGAAATGAAACGTCAAATTCAAAACGTCAATTGTGTCGATCGGGCGCGCTAAATATAAACAAAAAATACTTGATATCTTATTAAGACATATGAAAGTAAAGTTTGCTTGGTGAAATTAACTAAATAATTAAAAGGTAAGTTCCCTAACTTCGTCAATTAATTGTGAGTGCCAAAATTAAACAAGTTTTTTGGATATCATGTATATTACATATTTATAATGGTAAACAAGGGGGGAACTGACTCGTTTTTCTTTTAATTTTTAAGGATAATTACAATGGAACCACGAGTGCGAGCTAGTGGTGAACAATTTTCAACCCGTTTGAAAAGTTCATGGAAAGGTTAGGAATTATTCACCTGAACCATGAACCTGATTAAATTCAAATGACTTGAGAATGATCCATGTAAACAATGACGTGATCCTAACAATCAGTTGCTTATATATTCTTTGTTCAATTGCAGTCACGGCCATCTATCAAATTCCCGAAGTGGGCCTCAAGGGCGCTTGAAATCCGAGCGGCTGTGGTGCGCGTTGACAACAATATTGAACTCAATCGGTGGTGGAGTAAATAAATCGGCAGACAAATGGAAAAGGGTAACAATTGCACAGCTATATATGGTCATAATCATTTTATGCTTTATTTTGTCTATGTTAACCACCTATTATTTATTATACATTATTACTCATTCCTAACTTTCCTACATTTTGCTTAATTTATTTCGAAGGTTTGGACAGACTGGAAGTCAAAATAAAAAAAAAACATCGCTAATAAGGCATCATGCAATTGGTACCGGTGGTGGGCCGAGTATTCGCCAAAACCTCACGACTTTTTCAATAGGGTGTAGGTACTTGTCGGAAATTTAACTGTGGAGGGCCAATCCAGTATTTAGAAACAAGGCTTCGTAAATTTTGCACTACTTCATTTAAAATTCAGGGTTAGGTGATCACTTGAATATTTAAAAACGTGTACCTACCTACTAATATCACTAAATGAATAATATCACTATATGTTTTTTATATGATATGTTATGGTTAGGTACAACTTAAATGAAGATTTAATGTAATTTTTTTTCAGGGACTATCACAACTCATCCCATCGCCAAAACAGGGCCTGAGTCCACCACTGGCCACACACCAACAAGATGCAATTAATTTTGCAATCGCAACAAAGTATTTATAAATACTTTATTGACTAATTCTTTTTTAACTTCATTTTTTACAGAATCTGTGGCAATAAGCCACCCGCGCCTGCTACTCATACGCCATCTACTAGCTGGCAACCACCGCACACAAACACCATCACACAGTCATCAACATTATACGATCAATCTGCGAGGAGTTCAAGGGTGTAACCTGCACCTTCTACCCTCCGTCAACCAGCAGGCGACGGTTACCATCAACCCCGAGATCTGGGGTAACGGCTTCCCCTGCACGAAGGACACTAAGGACACCCCAGAGGCGTACACTCTCATCATTCGATAGAGCGACGAGCGAGTTCATATCCATTGAACATCTACGTCTTCGGCAGTAGAAACGAAACAGGCAGCTGTATGATCTGGAGACTCGTAGGATAAAGGTTGACCTTGAGCGTAATCAAGTGTTACGCATGTTTGCATACATTAAACAATCATGGTTTGACTACTATCGGAGTAAAGACAGTACAGAGCAATTAAATCATACTCCATTGGTACGAAATTCATCACGCCTGTATTCCACGGAATGTTAGGAATTGTTGTACTGTACACCCACATTTCGCCAATTATGTTACAAGTCCCATGTAACAATGGGTGAGCCTATTGCCATTATCCGCACACATACTGAGAACCCGGGATCGAAGTCGTGACCTCACGCTTAAATATCGGCTACTATGGAAATTCGTCCGTAAAAACGAGTTTAACATAATGTTAGAAATACTGTATTTTCAACTGCTTAAAATTTTTTAAATTTAGTACTTATTAGATTTTTTTATTCAAACTCCAAGCTGCTATTGAGAAATTTCAAATGAAAAAATCCAATCGACCTCACGCTTAGATATCGACTACTATTGAAATTCGTTCGTAAAAATTAGTTTAAGAATTAAGATAATGTTAGAAATACTTTATTTTAAACTGATTTAAAGAATTTTTAGTACTAATTGGATTTATTTATAGTACTGATAGTATTTTAAGTATATTGAAAGTTTAATATTGTTATTTATTTAGTAAATGGTTAAGTGTATGTATTCAAGTAGGTCTAATAAAATAAAAGAGTTGGTTGAATTTTAGAATTATAACATGTAATTTCGAATATTTTTTTATTTTAATAACACATCCAGAATACATGGGCTGCGAGCGTGTAGATACAAAGATGATGGCTGAAAGAGTATGAAAGGAAAGTGCTATATACGCCACTGACCCTAATCAAGTTAGGACAAGCACAGGTAAATGATGACACCCAATAAGAAATATTTAAAATGTCGTCTCTATAAATGTAAAGACTGATTTATTAATTGATAAATCGATCCTACCAAAAACATAACAACTAAAAAATGCAAGTCTCGCAATGGAATCCTTTTACCCGCCACAAAAAGTTGCGAGAACTAATATACAAACATTGTAAGCCAGTAAAAAAACTTGTGAAAGGGTCACATCACGTTACTTTACTTTTTTAATACAGGGTGTCCAGTGACAGATTTCGAAGTTACGGTTTTCGTCGATTACGTGATGGACCCAAGACTGAATGAGGTTGATCATCGATCAACCTCATTCAGTTAGCAAGGTTCAGAGCTACAGGATCAGCATTAAATAGATCCAGACCGTGACCAACACCAACGGTAACTACGGAGGAAAATCTTGAACATGTTATGGCTTCTGTAATTGAAAGTCGTCGTTATTCACTTCGTACACGTTCATCGACATTGGGAATTAGCAAATCAACTTTACAGGTTATAATGCGAAAAAAAACTCGAGTTTCATCCGTACAAAATTCAAATTATTCAAGATTTACACGATTCTAAATTTGCATTAAGAAAACTAATGCGGAAATGATAATGTTGAAATTTCGTACTGCTACTCGGATGAATAACATAATCTTTAGTGACGAAGCCCATTTCCACATTGGAGGATATATAAATAGGCAAAATTTTTGTTATTGGGATGTTTCCAACCCAAGACAAATGCATCAAGAGCCTTTACATAAACCTAAAATTACAGTCTGATGTGCAATGTCTGCGTCTGTTATAATAGGTCCGTATTTCTTTGAAGATTAACGTGGTAAAACTGTAACAGTGAATTCGGAGAGATATGCTGAGATGATAAGAATTTTTTTTTTGGACTATAATTGCAGAATACTTCATATTTCAACCGAAACACACGGTTCCGCCAGGACGGGGCTACAGCTCATACTGCTGGTGTGTCGATGAATGCAGTGCAGCAGTTATTTCCTGGAAAAAACATTGCCCGAAACGGCACCATACCGTGGCCGCCTAGGTCACCAGATTTAACTCCGTGTGATTTTTTCTTATGGGGATACTTAAAATCTGTCGTTTACAAAACAAATCCGAACACTGTGAAACAGCTTAAAGAAAATATTCGAGCAGAAATCAGCAGGATTCCCAAGTCGCTCTGTAAATGCGTTTTTGAAAACATGCGTGATCGACTCGAGAGTGTGTCAGGGTTGATGGTGGCCATTTGGAAAACGTGGTTTTCAAAAAACAAAATCCGCATATGTTGTCTTAATATTAAAATAAATGTAATTTGTATTAAAGGTGTAGTTTTTTTTACGAGTCTTCAAAATTTGAAATTTGCCACTGGACACGCGTTAGTAAGTTTCCTAGTCCAACCAAGCGACAAATGAAACATTTAGTAAATTTTCATATATTAGTATTTGTCTACATATCTAACAATACTTAATATTAAACAACTGAGTACAAACATTCGCACAGTTGAGCAATTACACACGCTATAATGTTCAATTAATAAATATAGATATTCTGTAAATCATTGAAAAGTCGCTGAAATGTGCTCTTTCAAACGGAAATATGTACAACCTTAGATAATTGATAGGTCTTCGGGCGTTCAGATTCGCGAAGACCTATCAATAATTTAAGTGTACAACAATTTATAATATTTTAATATTTTTTTAAAATTCTAGCAATAAATTAGAATTTTAAAAAATTTTGAATTTGAATTTAGTAACTCTTTCCATTTTTTGCCGGTAATTGTTTCATTTGTGACCATAACTACACATTCTCATTGTGCGTAGCCTTTAGTAAATGCAATGAATGAATTTAAAAAAAAAACACGAGAAATGAATTGATGAAAATAATACCTACAGCTGACTAACAAACAGCCATGTTGTTTTGCTTTTCTAAAGGGCTTAAGCGTTCGCTAAGTTGTCGAATGAACGATTCAACTTGCGATTTAGAATGTCAAAAGTGCCACTTGTCTACACATTGGTAAGGTAATATCGTTCGTGTTGATCGTTTTCTTTATAGCTTCGTTACGCAGTTTAACGTTGCCTAGCAATTAGCGATCGAAAACGATCCATTACGTGATATTTCGAAACTTATGTCAGTTTCATACATTTCGGTGTTATCTAATTTCGTTATCGTTATTGAAAATGTGACTTTGTCTAGGACCTTAGTACTTTTAAATAAATTATGTAAGGAATATTTTGATGTCAATTTTAAAAAAAAACAAATGGGACGAGGTCACAATACAACTAGTCGGTATTGTGAGGTGGGGAGAAATGTCGACCGAAGAAAAAACAAATGCATGTAAGTATAAGTAATTGTAATTGCGTTTATTAGGTACATTATATACTTACTACTGTATATACTTACTTAAATAAAAATGAATCGCCGAAATGTATTTACGCACATAACTTTCGAACGACTGCACCAAATTGGGTAATGCTAAATTCACAATGCAACAATTTCAGCTTTTTTGTCGCAGCTTTTTTTCACGTTGACAGCTATTGACGTCCTCTGATTGGTTGAATAGCCGTCAGCGAGGTAAAACAGCAATAAAAAGGTGAAATCGTTGCATTGTTAATCTACCGTAATGCTAGATTCACAATACAAAGATTCTAGATTTTTATCGCTGCTTTCGTAACGCTGACAGCTATCCACGTCCTCTGATTGGCGAATAGATATCAAAAAATTAAAAAAGCTGCGATTAAAAGCTAAAATGTTTGCATTGTGAATCTGCCATAATTATTTTTTTTTTTGTGTTCGTTACTGTCAGGAGAAGGTTTGTATGGTAAGTAGGTAGGTGTAGGGTAGGTAGATAAGTAAGTAAGTAAGTAAGTAAGATAAGGTATAGGATAAGTAGGTGTAAGGTAAGTATAGGATAGGTAGGTGTAGGGTAGGTAGGTTATTGGTACAATATTTAGGTGAAGGTTAGGTGTAGAACCCCACGCGAACGCCAGCTGGACTATAAACTATACTTTTTCATATAGCCATGGCAAACCTTGGAGGCTAAAAAATAACTACACAAATACTGTCTTATATTATTGCCAGATAACATAGCAGAGCTATTACTGTTATAATCAGTCAGTGGACAATCGTAAACGTTATCTGTGAACTCTATTCCGTCATGAACACGAACGTAATTATGAAGAATACAACAGGCTTTGATTATACTATCACAGAAGTCCCTGTTAACGTCTAAGGGCTATTACGCACTGTCGACTAGTCGCCGGCGACTCAGTTGTCGACGACTGTAATATTGTATAGTTTAAATAGGTGTTTACGCACTAGTCACCGGTTGCCCGGGCGACTCGGCGACTCGCCGCGCAGTGGCGACACACAGGCAACTGCCGGTCGCCGGCGACCAATAGGAGCACGGTTTCAAATGAAAGCATTCACACTGCGAGCAACTGTCGTAACGACCGGACGGCCGCGCACAATGAGTTTTGACACGGATAAATTTATATCGGAAATACAATCCCGAAAAGCTATTTGAGATTTACAAAGTGAGGAATATGCTAATCGGGATTTGAAGAAAAAACAGTGGGAAGAAATAGTGGAGTTATTTGGAGGTGAAGAATTATGAGACGAAGAAAAAAAAACTCAGGTAAGTAAGAAATGCCATTTATTTTTTATTAATTAATACTGCTCATCTGCCAAGATAATTGACCCTCAGTTGTAAAGTAATCAGCAAATACATCTCTGTATGATGCACCACGTCGCGTAGCTCTTTGGAAACCGTTTGGGACTTCTTCAAAGCCAGGAATGCTCAGGGTATCTTCAAATTTATATCCGTCTCTTTCTCGGACATAGTTGTGAAGAGCGCATCATGTTTTGATGATGCATGACACTAGATCTAAATTCACGTTGATAGGTCTGTGAAAAATCTGCCACTTGTTTGCTAATATGCCGAATGAACATTCAATATGGCGTCGTGCACGAGAAAGCCTATAATAAAATATTTTTTTCTTTGTTGTTAAATTTGATCCACCGAACGGTCGCATAATTTTGTCAGTTTGTCCAAATGCTTCGTCACCCACAATAACAAACGGTACTGGTATAGGGTTTGTCGATGAAACGGGCTTAGGTTCGGGTATTTGCAAATCATTGTTCATTAGCTTTTGATAAAACGTTGAATTTGTAAATATAGTTGAATCGCAATCCTTTCCATAGGAACCAACGTCTATGTATATGAACTTATAGTCAGAGTCACAAATGGCAAGCAAAATTACAGAAAAGAAGTGTTTGTAATTATAACACAATGATCCACTGTTGTATGGTTTTATAATTCTTACATGCTTACCATCTACGGCACCTATGCAATTTGGAAAATTGGCCCGTAAATGAAAATCTTTTGCGATTTTTAACCAATTTTCTTTTGTCGGTTGCGGTAAACACATGTCTTTTAGTACAACCCATATAAAATGACAAACTTCTCCTATTATTTCAGCTATAGTTGAAATCCCAAGTCTGTATGAGTAATGTAAATCTACAAATTTACAACCGCTTCCAAGATATCTGGAATTAAAAAATAATTTAAATATATACATTATTTACAGGTCATTCACTTCAAAAGAAGTGGAAAAATATAAGAAGCTGCTTTTCGCGAGAAGTACGAAGATTAAAAAATACTAAAAGCGGATCTGCTGCTTCCCATAAAACTCCCTATATTTATTATAATCAGCTGTTATTTTTGAAGAATACCGTTGGTAATTTGAACACAGAGAGTAACATTGCTGAACAAGAACATTTGACAAATGATCAAGAACCTTTAGGACCTTACTCGAGAGAAAATATAGTCGGAAGAAAAAAGAAAAAAACGTCAAATGATGGCACAAGCGAACTGTTAACCACATTAAACAAGTGTATTGAAACTCGCAAAAATAAGGAGGATATTTTGGAACAAGATGAGGACAGAATGTTCCTGATGTCCCTATTATCATCATTTAGGGCAATTCCGGAGCACAAAAAGTCAGCTGCGAAAATTCAATTAATCAGTGTAATCGAATCATTCCGATCCTCTACTCAAAATAATATATATCCAAACACAATGTGGCGAAATTTTAATGAGTACGAGTATGAGCGTGGTTACTTCACACCGGAGGCCGGGCGTTCAACAGCACCAAGTCAACAATCACGCCCTGAAGCACAACATTATTATACGCTACCAACTTCAACTCCTTCAGAACGTGAACGCCCAGAGTCGCGATTTTCTACTGTCACTTCAAATACCTCGCAAGATTCTGACATTTTGGATCTATTTTGAATATTTCCTTTTGTTGTGCGTTCGTTTATAATATTGATTTCATTAAGTACTTTAAAAAAATACATGTTTTATAATTATTTACCGTATATTTTTAAATTATGTCATCGAAGAGTAGACTTACAGATAGTGCCATCCACGAAGACGCGCCCCACTCTTTGTTCAAATGCATGTGTGCTATCTTCCGCATGTGTTAAACATCTGTCGATACACGCTAATTATCGATGAATGCAAACGCACACTAATAGAAATTGACTAATCAGGAAAGAGTATTATGAACAGCACGAAAGATGCTCTATTTAAATTTAATCGCGCATCTTCGTGGATGGCATTATCTGTAACTCTAAACACACTCCCGGACACATCTATCGGCCCACCTTGAGTTTTAAGTTTTGACTGGAGACCAGCTAAAAATAAATGTTAGGAGGAGCAATAAGTTTTTGCAGGTGTGAAGCTGATTTACTGGCCATCGTTTTCGTAAAAAACTGCATAAAAACTTATTGCACCACTTAACACTTATTTTTAGCTAGGGATTGTCAACACTTTAAACACTAGGTTTGGCCGATAGATGTGTCCGGGAATGTAATGTAAATTGTGTTAAAATCGCGTAAAAAATAAATGTTAGGAATGAATTTTATTTGAATTGTCACTTATCTTAGTGTTATAAAAAGTTTTTCTTCCGGAGGTCATGGTCGCATATTTGTATCTATGCCAGTTATATGTGGTTTTAGAAGACACAATAAGACATCAAACGAACTCACAGACATTCTTGCATAATTAAAAAATTTACGAGGATATTTTCTAACGTCTTCATAAAATATTTTAAACATTCCCCAATACTCTTTTGATTTTTTTTTATTTGTCTTTCTTTTTATAATTAGTAGCGCCGTTACTATTGCAAGTTCTTCAACGTCCATTCTGCACGAATGTACTTGGAATACTGTCGCTCGGCTCGGTCTCCGGGCCCTGTTTCCCATGTTTCGGTCGCCGAGGGACTGAGTCGCCGGCGACTAGTCGACAGTGCGTAATAGCCCTAAAGGTCTGTGTAAAATGCGCCATTTATTGGCTAAGATGCCGAAAGTACATTCGACGAATCAGCGAGCTCTAGAAAGACGATAATTAAGTACTTTCTTAACTATGTTCAAATCTCTTTTAGCGTAAGGCCGCTATATGTTTTTGGATAATCCAAATGCTTTATCACCAATTATATAATATGGCAGAATGCGAGCACTTTCATAGCCTGGTAGCGTATTTTCTGATGGAATGTTCAAAGTCCCATGTTCCAACCGTTTTCCCACATTAGAATTTTTGGTAAACGTTGAATCTGATGAGGATGTCTGCGAATACGAATTTGTAATCAGAATCTACCCATTCTATCAGTACCACAGAAAAATATTTTTTATAATTGAAATCTTCCGAGCCTGCATTATTAGGTTTTTCTATCCTGATGTGCTTTCCGTCTATGGCGCCAATAACGTTAGGAAAACGAGCTCTAATATTGAACTGTTTCGCTAATTTTATTCAATCCTTTTTTCAGCCATGTACAAAGGCTGTAAAACACACCATAGCTTGTCGCAAGTCACCGTAATTACACTTCTCAATATTGAGGGTGCAATGAGATGAGTCAAGTGAGAGGTCATAAAAACTTTGTTGTGCTGCTAAATATCTGTAACAAACAATATTGTTTTAATCATTTCTAAATTTACGGAATTGTTTGTTGTGTTGAATTAAGACTACAATGTTTACGTAAACGACCAAGTCGGGGCAGAGCGCCAAAAAAAGATGAACCTATTTATACTTTGAACGGCTGATGTTTCTTTTGCTAGCCATAGATCCAAGGCAAACTGCAAGTAACATAAGTACTGAAACGACGATGGCGACGGTACTGATTCTTTAAATACCGAGCGACTGCGTCCTCCACTTCCTTCGCCTTACAATAATAAGTCATTTGAACAATTTCTATTAAATTTGTTGGAGAGAAATTTTAATGTTTAACAAAATGAAACAACTGTAAATGACGAAGATCGCGACTTTGCGTTGTAGCTGGTACCCATGCTGCAACGACTTAGTGTTTGCGATAAAATAGATGTAAAAATGCAAATTTTAAACATATTTAAAGGAAAATGGGCCTACAGCATGATTTGCGCAAGATACCTATGATAAACCAGCAAATAATACCTCCAAAGCCGATGAACAATCCTGGGCGTGGACCACCACCAGCGATCTCGCCTGTAAATTCTCAAACACAACACGCAATACTTCAAGACCGGATGCAGGGACCATCTCAAGCACGTGTATATTCACCTCCGCCAGCGATCTCACTTGGGCCTTCTCAAACACAACATACATTACCTGAAGACCGGATGCAGCCAACTCCATCACCGAGTACTTACGGTACTAACGAGTCTGTCCTAACCTGTTACTCTAACTACTTTGAAGATGATTATGAATAGGTACATTTGTTGATTAAAACTACTTTTACGGATTTTATCGCGTTTTATTTATATTAATTTTAATACCCGACGTTTCAGGTGCTTTCCAGCACCCATGGTCACGGGGGACTGAGGTGACTGACGTCCCGATGTCAAAGTTAACCCGGAGTACCTTCAGCTTTTTAATTATTGTCTTTGGTCCGATCTACGCAGAATGAACTAACTGTATTTTGAAGTCTTGCAGTGGTATGCTTGGGTTTAGTTTTAATTTTATTAATTATAGGATCCCAAGCAGGTGGTAGTACCCAGCCTCCTTCTCTATTGAAATTAGGATGTTTTTTAATTTCAATAGCCTCACGTATCATCCTTGGTAGGAATCGATGTTCTTTCGCAAGGATTTGTGGTCTATCAAATCCGATGTAATGGTTACCTAATTGTGTACTCTTTAATGCGATACTTTGTTATATGCTAACTAAAAGCTTAATAATATAAATGATAAATTATCTGCTCATCCAGGATAAGCCGGCGGAACACCATTCACAACAGGAGTCAGATTCACAATCAACAGAAAATAATTTATCACAATCAACAGAAAAAAATCTATCAGAGTTGCCAAGACCAAATAAACGTCCTAGAATTAATCAAAAAGATGAGATGGTGTCCGAAGCACTGAGTATTATGAAGAATATCTCCGAACGACAAAATGCCTCAAAGATACTAGAAAAAGATGAGGATGGTTTGTTTGGAGATTATATTGCTGCCCAGTTAAGAAAAATGGAGCGGTCAACGAAAGCTATTGTAAGACATCGGATCAATAATATAATATTTGAAGCCGAAACTGGCATTCGAGCCGATATGTTTTCGGATTTTTCAAGACCATCGTCAACACACAGTCATCCGGGATACTATTCGGCTTCAAGACCATCGTCAACACACAGTCATCCGGGATACTATTCGGCTGCACCTACAAACTACTCAACATCCGTATACTCCGCCCAATCCCACGAGACAGTTTCACCTCCAAAAACATTTGAGGAAGATATCTCACCTCTAACTCGTAATAGTACCCAGCATATTGAAGATATTTTAACATCCCTAAATCCATAGATATTTAAGAATGAAATTGCCTTTTTTCTCAATTTATTTTGTTTGTATCTTTATATCGGAATCTGCATCGCTTATTGAATAAATTTACATAAAAACACTAAAGGAAAAATATGCCATGTGTTCAGAATTTATTTTTTATTATTTGAGGATTATTCCACTTTTTTATTTATTCTGGCTACCAAGGACACCGGAAGAATGGAGAAACATTGCAGATGCATATTTTAAAAGATGGCAAGTACCTAATTGTCTTGGATCAATGGACGGGAAACACGTAAAATTGAAATGTCCTCCAAGGAGTGGCAGTGAATACTATAACTATAAACATTATTTCAGTATTGTTCTTTTTGCTTTAGTAGATGCTGATTACAATTTTTTGTACACTAATGTGGGATGTCAGGGTCGGATTTCAGACGGCGGTGTCTTCAGTAATTCTGCATTATGCAGGTTGTTAATGAATGATAATGCTTTGAATTTACCAGATAAAAATCCTCTACCCGAACGGAATACACCAATACCATTCTTGTTTTTGGGTGATGACGATTTTCCATTGCAAACCCATATTATGAAAGCTTATGATAGGAATCATATGAAAGGCTCCCCAAAGAGGATTTTTAACTATCGTGTATGTCGAGGGAGAAGGGTAGTTGAAAATGTGTTTGGGCAGTTAGCAAATAAATTTCAGATTTTCCATAAACCTATTGAACTAATCCCAGAAAAAGCTACTATTGTAACATTGGCGTGTATACATTTGTTCAATTATATAAAACAAACCGGTGCACTACCACAAAATGAATACGATACTGAAAATTATGAAGGAGAAGTCATTCCAGGTGAGTGGCGACGGAATGCACATGAAAGTTGTTTAGTTAACATCCCCAGAGAAGATAATAATATTACTTCAGGCCCAGATGCAATATTCACCACCGAGGATACAAGAATAGAGTTGACTCATTATTTTCTTTCTGATGTCGGTACATTAGAATGGCAATATAACCAATAAACGCCCCATAGTAAACTAAAGTAAAACTCATAACATAATTCTGATTTATTTTTAATATTTGTATAAACAGTGCCCAATAAGTCTCTTGACGAGATACATTTTTACTTTAATTTGAATAATAAAGCTTTTATCAAAGTAAGAAATGTGTTCTTATTATAAATCAATTAGTAGCAAACTTTTTTATTCCTCAATTTTAAAACTGTAAAGTGATATGGAATCAGTATCGCTTAAATGAATAAAATGATATAAAACACTGAAAAAAAATTGCCATGTGTTCAGAATGTATGCAACGTTTATTAGAGTGGTACCACGGACATTTAATTATAAGTAGTGATGTTATAATTTAGATAAAAAAAATACAAAAACATAATTTACTTGAAATGATACAATTATCTTGAAGTACTTTAATACACGCATACGTAACACTATATGTATTATATAACACCGGGATGGAATAAGATTAGTACAAAGATCATAAAACAATCGATAGATATTCTCGTTGATCCCCTATGTTATTTGTATAACTTGAGCCTGGAAACAGGGGTTTTCCCAGTTGCTTTCAAAAAAGCCATTATAACCCCAATATTCAAAAGCGGAGAAAAACAATTAGCAAGCAATTATAGACCAATTGCACTTTTAAGCACGCTTTCTAAAATTCTGGAAAAAAATAGTTAATATTAGACTTACGAAATTTCTTGACCAAAAAAAACCTCATCTCGTCTAATCAGTATGGCTTTAGGAAGAATAAATCTACAGAAGATGCTGTTTTAAGACTTACTACACTAGTGACAAACTATTTAGATAACAATTATCACTGTGTTGGTGTCTTTTTAGACTTACGAAAGGCTTTCGATACTGTGTCACCGAGGATACTTCTGAAACGAATGGAGCGAATGGGTATACGTGGGATCCCCTATGACTGGTTTGCAGACTACTTAAATAATCGAAGCCAGCAGATCAAAATTGGCACACACATAAGTGACGAAACAAACTGTGATTACGGAGTCCCACAAGGAAGCACTCTTGGAGCAACTCTTTTCCTGCTCTACGTTAACCATCTCTGCAACATAGAATTAGAAGGAGCTGATTTATTAATGTACGCAGATGACACTGTCCTGATATTTCATGATCAGACTTGGGACGGTGTGCAAAAACTTACAGAAAGAGGACTGTGTGAAGTTTCGAAGGCTCTGGAAAATAGTCTGCTATCGTTAAACATAGAAAAGACTAAATATCTATGTTTCAGGATAACAGAGGCTACTAAACCCTCCAGCAGCTTTAAAGTCAAGATGCACACTTTCCCATGCAATACAATACCCTTACTTCCTGGCAGACAATGTGGTTGTGAAGAACTAGAAATGGTTAAACACGTGCGATATCTAGGAGTGACAATTGACTAGAAGTTAACTAGGAACCGTCAAATTTCAAATGTCGCGAGTAGAGTAAGAAAGCTCATTTATATTTTTAAGAACCTAGGAGAAATTGCAGATAGCGACCTCCTCCTATATGTATACAAGGCTCTTTGCCAATCTGTCATAACGTATTGTATTGCAGTGTGGGGAGGTGCAGCGAAAACCCATATGCTGGGACTAGAAAGGGCTCAAAGAGCCATTCTAAAAGTGCTATGTCTTCTCCCTTTCAAATATCCCTCACACGCTTTGTATCAACACTGTAGGGTCCTCACTGTGAGACAATTATACTACAAATCTATAGTTCTCAGGTACCATAGGGAAGTTGTGCCGTCTTTGCCAATGTATCAGAGAAGGAGAGAGGTATGTCCCATGGTCGAACAATGCTGGAAAGAACTGTGGAGGATCCAGGTTTTTTTGATAAAATTCTGTGGACAGACGAGTCTAGATTTGAAAGAACAGGAGTCTTCAATATCCACAAATACCATAGTTGGGCTGTTGAAAACCCACACAAGGCAAGGCCTTCAAATTTTCAAACACATTATAGTGTAAACTTGTGGTCAGGAATTTTGAACGGGGAACTTATAGGACCTTTTGAATTGCCTGCTAGGTTAAACGGAGCTCAATATTTAGACTTTTTACAAAACAATTTAAACGGCTTATTAGGCGAAGTAACTTATTGACAAGAAGGGATATGATTTACCAAAATGATGGTGCTCTTTGCCACTATGCAAGAGAGGTACGGGAGCACCTTAATCAAAGATTCCCCAATAGATGGATTGGGCGTGGCGGACCGATTCATTGGCCTGCACGTTCACCAGAGATGGTGTACGAAAACGAAACAAACACCGAAGCAGAACTGCGAGATAAATTAACGGAGGCGGAAACAAAAATCAGACAAAATTCAAATGCTTTTAGAAGCCTGAAACAAAATTTTCTAAGGCGTTGTAGACTGTGTATTGAAGTGGAGGGGGGGGTACTTTAAGAATTGGTTGTAAAATAAAATAAGTATTAAAAAACCAAATTGTTTTATTTATTACGAGATTATGACATACCATGTCATAATCTTTCATATAAAATCTAATTATCCTTAGTAATAAACAATAGGTGCATAATAAAACGATTATTTTTGAACTTTTTGGCTCTGTGCAATTAAAGGTCGACTAGGGATAAAAAAGGCCCATTGACCACCTTTTTTTTGTATTATAACTAAAGCTTAGGGTCTTGCGAAGTTTTTAAAATTACTTTAAAGTCATGGAACTCATTATTTAATTTTTAGTTTAAATTTCAAAATTAAACTTTGATTCAATCATATCTGCATAATTTGTTTTCGATTAAAATTTTTGCAATTTGTATTAATGGTTGGCAGCTTATTTTTTTATGTCAAAGAGTCCAACTCATGAAGACTACGCTAAGAATAAAAAAAGTAGAAAAGAGAGCAGAATTTTCAAGAAAAAAAATTTTGAATCGCTAAGTCAACATTTTCAAAATAATACAAAAAAAATCATATCTCGTAAACTAAGAAAAATCGCGGAACATACATGGGGTATTTTCATGTAGCCCGAAAGGTAAGCATTCCAAAAAAAATTTTTGGACGTCACCTTTTGGACCACCCGTATATGCGTCTGGTTAGGTTGGTGCTGAGAAGTAGAAGTTGTAAGTTCCAACATTAGTAAAAATCTCGAACTGAACTATCACATCAATACCATAGATATTATATCTGATAAAGCTATTAACCCCTGCGCAGAAGAATGGATTTCAGTATGACTCGAAGGCTTTTCGTACTCTCTACGGAAAATTTCCTGTAGGACCACTTCCGACAACCAAAAGTGTGGTCTTACATTTCTTGTTAACTGAGATATTCGACCGTCAAGAGATCATCAAATGCATTGATTCAGGAATAATCCCAACCGGATGGAGAGTAATGGTAGCAGTGCCCAAGGAACGGGAGTTCAAAGAAAAGGACGCTACATACTTTGGGAAGATGTCGCCTGAGATGCGCGCATATCAGGTGGTAACAGAGGCGAACATTGCGTACACCATTTTCACTTACGTCAAACACCAGTCTATGACCGTAACAGAAGAGCAACTGACAAAAACACTAATACGCATGAGTTGTCCCGGAAGAAACCATGATTACATAAATATCGTTATCGACTTCTCTTCCTGGTTTACCCATTTTCGTGCAGAACTTGTAGAGCCTCTTTTTAGAAGCTTAGACCAGCTTTTTGGTTTTCAAAATGATTACGGATTTACTCATACTTTTCCACTTATTTAAAAACTTTTTTTTCAAGATCGATATGCAACACCCAAGCAGGAGACGGAGAACCCATTGAGGGACCACGGTGTGTTCATGGCCCGGAAGCGTGGCTAGAGGGATTGAGACAGAAAAGATGGACACTTGCTACCATACTCATCGTCCTGCTTGCCGCTCACAGATGCGACACAACAGCATCCCTACTAGGTCAAGGTGACAACCAGGTGATCGTGCTTAGAATTCCTTCTCAACGATATGTTCAAGAGCGAAAGTTAACACCAGACGAGTATACTGAACAGTTTCTCAGAGTGCTTGAGGACATCTGCACGGCGTCCGGGATAGTGATCAAGGTACCTGAATCATGGAGGTTCAGGAGGTTATTGGAGTACGGCCGACGCTACTATTTGGATGGTGTTCAAGTAAGTGGGGCATTGAAAAAGGCGTCAAGATTTACAAGCGAGGCCAACCAAACAATACATACCACGAATGCACTCATCGCTGGTTTATTCTCCAGTGGCACCTCAGTTGAGGGAAATGACGAAACACCACTTCCTGCTTATATGATGACGGTGTTCGAGGCTGCACGGGTCCTATGGAGGAGGCACGCTGAGCATTAAGAGAAGTCGGACGAGTGGATGACGGTACTGCTATTGATGAATCGCTCGGTTGGTGGATACCCTACTGTTCTCTTCCCGCAGCTTGCTGCTCGGGCTTCCCAAGATACCCTTAGTCTAGGACTCAGTATTTTTCGATGGGCTTTGCAGGACAACCAGTTCAGGAAAGGAGGTTCATGCTCTTTTTGATATAAGTAAACCTTCTCACATAGATCATGTGCAACTTATTAAGTATTCTGGCAGTATCCCGTTAAATCTTCCCCCACAACCAGAGAAACATGTTTCACCAGCGTTTAAAAGAAGGACTTCCACAATTGGTCAAAAACAGGGAGGTGCTAGCTATCTTCAACACCCAGGCTCAGGCGGAAGAAGAGAAGCTGAAAAATGACCTGCTAGCCATCAGACCTGTGAGCCCCACAAACTATTGTGCAAGATTTGGCAGTTATCAAACATTGGGCACATTGAGAAGGTAATCGGGAAATTCGCCACCTCTCGATCTATTCAAGGGGCATCGATGAACATCTGGATTGATGAAAAAGCATTGCTAGAAAGCGTGCATGCTTTAGAACTCCGCACATGTCACTACATTCGTGAAGAACCCCCCTTTCACTGCCAGCCTTGAACACACAGAATGTGTCACTATTCTCACACAACATTTGAGAGAAGCCTTATGGGACCTGCTGTTAGAAGGCATAACAATGCCGGCTCCATGTGACTAAATAGACATTATTCCCTGGGACCAAGTCACATAAGCTATGGTGCCCTCATCCATTTTCATCAGTTGGTCAGGTGAATCCAGAGTTGATAGCTTCCATGAGAGAGGCCCTCGGACCCTCTATATAGGATCGCAGACTAAGACTAGGACACGCAAAGCAGCGTTGCAGGTTATAGAAGTAGGAAGCGTGACTAACAACATTAAAACTATCCTCGAATTAAGGAGTTGGGTGAAAGGGAGTGAGGGTCTTCACGGTCTACTGAGAGTGTTGATAGAGGAAAAGACACACTTGACCCTAGCTAGCTAGAACCGTTAACAGCACAGGTACACTCAGGTCTGCTATCACACAGACTGCCTTGCCCTGCTCTCCGATAAGGGGCTATGTGGAACGGATGCACCACTTTCTTAACTTGGTTGAGGATCGTCTCTGACAGCCACGTTTTATGCAAAACAGGGAAGAAATTATAACATCTGTTTTCAGGAAGACTTTTTTTACGGGTTGTGTGTCTTATTGGAATGGTACAGGGAGTATAGTTATTCCCACCGCCATGGCTCTTGTTCTAGAAAAGAAATGCTTCATATGGGAATTGCCCCCAGAGACTTTCGATCTAGAATCATGTACGTATAAAGGAATTCCCTTGGCAAAGGTCATTGAAAACGTCACTCAGGTTGAAGACAGGAGATTAGTACCTACCAATGTTGAAATCTGTCCAAGAGTGTCAGATCCAGATCCAGAAACTCAGTGCACATGGCGCATAAACTAGCCGCATGGATTATTCACATACGAGGAGAACAATTTGTAACATCTCTGGAGAATAGTGCAATCGGTGAAAGCGTCTCCGATAGCTTCCTCAACCTAACAGAGTTCCGCGGTATGATGATCGACACACTCATCCCATGTTTAGTCTTTTATCTCATGATTTATGATAAAGAATTCTTTTCGAAGAGAGTCACACATTTTGATTCCATATACGCCTCTAAGAAGACCGCTTATGATGTGCTGCTTGACACAATAATGTCCCGTGGCAAGGCAGGGGACCTTTACGCTTTTGCGGGGTTGTCCGCTTTTTGGACACGAGAGGGATCTCAGGACAGCATTATACCTCTCTTTGATAAAATGTATCGATGAACGACTCCTTTTACTGTGGTATCGCGAGGTGCCTACATGACACCAGAAAATGCCGAGCAAATATATATGCGTCTGGTTAGGTTGGTGCTGAGAATCCTAGGGGAAGTACAACTCCCTCTAGAAGTGACTAGTCACAAGGAATACATGGAGCATGTTGAGAGTTTGCCCCCATAAATCTCACGCCACATTCCATATCGGGTTGTCCACACATAAGAGGCGGTGAGCTACGTCAGGGCAGTTTCCCCTTCCTGCACCTACCTCAAGACCAGGGATAGTGCTGCTTAGAAATCCTGCAGGCCAATGTGTAGAGGTACCAGGACTCAGAGTTTTCCAAGGAAACATCAATTTGGCTCTCCCTTATAGTCTGTCTCAGCTAGACTGTTCGTTAATGTGTGCAGTGCAGGGATGGTGCAGTGCTCTGCTGACTGAAGTTCAGTACATTATCACCCTGCGCGACAGAGAGGGTGTACACTTCAATGCTCTTAGGCACAAGTCAAAGTTTTTCAAAGAAAAGGACGCTAGATACTTTGGATGAGATGCGCGCATATCAGGTGGTAACAGAGGCGAACATTGCGGACACCATTTCCACTTACGTCAAACACCAGTCTATGACCTTAACAGAAGAGCAACTGACAAAAACACTAATACGCATGAGGTGTCCCGGAAGAAACCATGATTACATAAATATCGTTATTGACTTCTCTTCCTGGTTTACCCATTTTCGTGCAGAACTTGTAGAGCCTCTTTTTAGAAGCTTAGACCAGCTTTTTGGTTTTCAAAATGATTACGGATTTACTCATACTTTTCCACTTATTTAAAAACTTTTTTTTCAAGATCGATATGCAACACCCAAGCAGGAGACGGAGAACCCATTGAGGGACCACGGTGTGTTCATGGCCCGGAAGCGTGGCTAGAGGGATTGAGACAGAAAAGATGGACACTTGCTACCATACTCATCGTCCTGCTTGCCGCTCACAGATGCGACACAACAGCATCCCTACTAGGTCAAGGTGACAACCAGGTGATCGTGCTTAGAATTCCTTCTCAACGATATGTTCAAGAGCGAAAGTTAACACCAGACGAGTATACTAAACAGTTTCTCAGAGTGCTTGAGGATATCTGCACGGCGTCCGGGATAGTGATCAAGGTACCTGAATCATGGAGGTTCAGGAGGTTATTGGAGTACGGCCGACGGTACTATTTGGATGGTGTTCAAGTAAGTGGGGCATTGAAAAAGGCGTCAAGATTTACAAGCGAGGCCAACCAAACAATACATACCACGAATGCACTCATCGCTGGTTTATTCTCCAGTGGCACCTCAGTTGAGGGAGATGACGAAACACCACTTCCTGCTTATATGATGACGGTGTTCGAGGCTGCACGGGTCCTATGGAAGAGGCACGCTGAGCATTAAGAGAAGTCGGACGAGTGGATGACGGTACTGCTATTGATGAATCGCTCGGTTGGTGGATACCCTACTGTTCTCTTCCCGCAGCTTGCTGCTCGGGCTTCCCAAGATACCCTTAGTCTAGGACTCAGTATTTTTCGATGGGCTTTGCAGGACAACCAGTTCAGGAAAGGAGGTTCATGCTCTTTTTGATATAAGTAAACCTTCTCACATAGATCATGTGCAACTTATTAAGTATTCTGGCAGTATCCCGTTAAATCTTCCCCCACAACCAGAGAAACATGTTTCACCAGCGTTTAAAAGAAGGACTTCCACAATTTGTCAAAAACAGGGAGGTGCTAGCTATCTTCAACACCCAGGCTCAGGCGGAAGAAGAGAAGCTGAAAAATGACCTGCTAGCCATAAGACCTGTGAGCCCCACAAACTATTGTGCAAGATTTGGCAGTTATCAAACATTGGGCACATTGAGAAGGTAATCGGGAAATTCGCCACCTCTCGATCTATTCAAGGGGCGTCGATGAACATCTGGATTGATGAAAAAGCATTGCTAGAAAGCGTGCATGCTTTAGAACTCCGCACATGTCACTACATTCGTGAAGAACCCCCCTTTCACTGCCAGCCTTGAACACACAGAATGTGTCACTATTCTCACACAACATTTGAGAGAAGCCTTATGGGACCTGCTGTTAGAAGGCATAACAATGCCGGCTCCATGTGACTAAATAGACATTATTCCCTGGGACCAAGTCACATAAGCTATGGTGCCCTCATCCATTTTCATCAGTTGGTCAGGTGAATCCAGAGTTGATAGCTTCCATGAGAGAGGCCCTCGGACCCTCTATATAGGATCGCAGACTAAGACTAGGACACGCAAAGCAGCGTTGCAGGTTATAGAAGTAGGAAGCGTGACTAACAACATTAAAACTATCCTCGAATTAAGGAGTTGGGTGAAAGGGAGTGAGGGTCTTCACGGTCTACTGAGAGTGTTGATAGAGGAAAAGACACACTTGACCCTAGCTAGCTAGAACCGTTAACAGCACAGGTACACTCAGGTCTGCTATCACACAGACTGCCTTGCCCTGCTCTCCGATAAGGGGCTATGTGGAACGGATGCACCACTTTCTTAACTAGGTTGAGGATCGTCTCTGACAGCCACGTTTTATGCAAAACAGGGAAGAAATTATAACATCTGTTTTCAGGAAGACTTTTTTTACGGGTTGTGTGTCTTATTGGAATGGTACAGGGAGTATAGTTATTCCCACCGCCATGGCTCTTGTTCTAGAAAAGAAATGCTTCATATGGGAATTGCCCCCAGAGACTTTCGATCTAGAATCATGTACGTATAAAGGAATTCCCTTGGCAAAGGTCATTGAAAACGTCACTCAGGTTGAAGACAGGAGATTAGTACCTACCAATGTTGAAATCTGTCCAAGAGTGTCAGATCCAGATCCAGAAACTCAGTGCACATGGCGCATAAACTAGCCGCATGGATTATTCACATACGAGGAGAACAATTTGTAACATCTCTGGAGAATAGTGCAATCGGTGAAAGCGTCTCCGATAGCTTCCTCAACCTAACAGAGTTCCGCGGTATGATGATCGACACACTCATCCCATGTTTAGTCTTTTATCTCATGATTTATGATAAAGAATTCTTTTCGAAGAGAGTCACACATTTTGATTCCATATACGCCTCTAAGAAGACCGCTTATGATGTGCTGCTTGACACAATAATGTCCCGTGGCAAGGCAGGGGACCTTTACGCTTTTGCGGGGTTGTCCGCTTTTGGACACGAGAGGGATCTCAGGACAGCATTATACCTCTCTTTGATAAAATGTATCGATGAACGACTCCTTTTACTGTGGTATCGCGAGGTGCCTACATGACACCAGAAAATGCCGAGCAAATATATATGCGTCTGGTTAGGTTGGTGCTGAGAATCCTAGGGGAAGTACAACCCCCTCTAGAAGTGACTAGTCACAAGGAATACATGGAGCATGTTGAGAGTTTGCCCCCATAAATCTCACGCCACATTCCATATCGGGTTGTCCACACAGAAGAGGCGGTGAGCTACGTCAGGGCAGTTTCCCTTCCTGCACCTACCTCAAGACCAGGGATAGTGCTGCTTAGAAATCCTGCAGGCCAATGTGTAGAGGTACCAGGACTCAGAGTTTTCCAAGGAAACATCAATTTGGCTCTCCCTTATAGTCTGTCTCAGCTAGACTGTTCGTTAATGTGTGCAGTGCAGGGATGGTGCAGTGCTCTGCTGACTGAAGTTCAGTACATTATCACCCTGCGCGACAGAGAGGGTGTACACTTCAATGCTCTTAGGCACAAGTCAAAGTTTTTCAAAGAAAAGGACGCTAGATACTTTGGATGAGATGCGCGCATATCAGGTGGTAACAGAGGCGAACATTGCGGACACCATTTCCACTTACGTCAAACACCAGTCTATGACCTTAACAGAAGAGCAACTGACAAAAACACTAATACGCATGAGTTGTCCCGGAAGAAACAATGATTACATAAATATCGTTATTGACTTCTCTTCCTGGTTTACCCATTTTCGTGCAGAACTTGTAGAGCCTCTTTTTTAGAAGCTTAGACCAGCTTTTTGGTTTTCAAAATGATTACGGATTTACTCATACTTTTCCACTTATTTAAAAACTTTTTTTTCAAGATCGATATGCAACACCCAAGCAGGAGACGGAGAACCCATTGAGGGACCACGGTGTGTTCATGGCCCGGAAGCGTGGCTAGAGGGATTGAGACAGAAAAGATGGACACTTGCTACCATACTCATCGTCCTGCTTGCCGCTCACAGATGCGACACAACAGCATCCCTACTAGGTCAAGGTGACAACCAGGTGATCGTGCTTAGAATTCCTTCTCAACGATATGTTCAAGAGCGAAAGTTAACACCAGACGAGTATACTAAACAGTTTCTCAGAGTGCTTGAGGACATCTGCACGGCGTCCGGGATAGTGATCAAGGTACCTGAATCATGGAGGTTCAGGAGGTTATTGGAGTACGGCCGACGCTACTATTTGGATGGTGTTCAAGTAAGTGGGGCATTGAAAAAGGCGTCAAGATTTACAAGCGAGGCCAACCAAACAATACATACCACGAATGCACTCATCGCTGGTTTATTCTCCAGTGGCACCTCAGTTGAGGGAGATGACGAAACACCACTTCCTGCTTATATGATGACGGTGTTCGAGGCTGCACGGGTCCTATGGAAGAGGCACGCTGAGCATTAAGAGAAGTCGGACGAGTGGATGACGGTACTGCTATTGATGAATCGCTCGGTTGGTGGATACCCTACTGTTCTCTTCCCGCAGCTTGCTGCTCGGGCTTCCCAAGATACCCTTAGTCTAGGACTCAGTATTTTTCGATGGGCTTTGCAGGACAACCAGTTCAGGAAAGGAGGTTCATGCTCTTTTTGATATAAGTAAACCTTCTCACATAGATCATGTGCAACTTATTAAGTATTCTGGCAGTATCCCGTTAAATCTTCCCCCACAACCAGAGAAACATGTTTCACCAGCGTTTAAAAGAAGGACTTCCACAATTGGTCAAAAACAGGGAGGTGCTAGCTATCTTCAACACCCAGGCTCAGGCGGAAGAAGAGAAGCTGAAAAATGACCTGCTAGCCATCAGACCTGTGAGCCCCACAAACTATTGTGCAAGATTTGGCAGTTATCAAACATTGGGCACATTGAGAAGGTAATCGGGAAATTCGCCACCTCTCGATCTATTCAAGGGGCGTCGATGAACATCTGGATTGATGAAAAAGCATTGCTAGAAAGCGTGCATGCTTTAGAACTTCGCACATGTCACTACATTCGTGAAGAACCCCCCTTTCACTGCCAGCCTTGAACACACAGAATGTGTCACTATTCTCACACAACATTTGAGAGAAGCCTTATGGGACCTGCTGTTAGAAGGCATAACAATGCCGGCTCCATGTGACTAAATAGACATTATTCCCTGGGACCAAGTCACATAAGCTATGGTGCCCTCATCCATTTTCATCAGTTGGTCAGGTGAATCCAGAGTTGATAGCTTCCATGAGAGAGGCCCTCGGACCCTCTATATAGGATCGCAGACTAAGACTAGGACACGCAAAGCAGCGTTGCAGGTTATAGAAGTAGGAAGCGTGACTAACAACATTAAAAACTATCCTCGAATTAAGGAGTTGGGTGAAAGGGAGTGAGGGTCTTCACGGTCTACTGAGAGTGTTGATAGAGGAAAAGACACACTTGACCCTAGCTAGCTAGAACCGTTAACAGCACAGGTACACTCAGGTCTGCTATCACACAGACTGCCTTGCCCTGCTCTCCGATAAGGGGCTATGTGGAACGGATGCACCACTTTCTTAACTTGGTTGAGGATCGTCTCTGACAGCCACGTTTTATGCAAAACAGGGAAGAAATTATAACATCTGTTTTCAGGAAGACTTTCTTTACGGGTTGTGTGTCTTATTGGAATGGTACAGGGAGTATAGTTATTCCCACCGCCATGGCTCTTGTTCTAGAAAAGAAATGCTTCATATGGGAATTGCCCCCAGAGACTTTCGATCTGGAATCATGTACGTATAAAGGAATTCCCTTGGCAAAGGTCATTGAAAACGTCACTCAGGTTGAAGACAGGAGATTAGTACCTACCAATGTTGAAATCTGTCCAAGAGTGTCATACTCAGTGCACATGGCGCATAAACTAGCCGCATGGATTATTCACATACGAGGAGAACAATTTGTAACATCTCTGGAGAATAGTGCAATCGGTGAAAGCGTCTCCGATAGCTTCCTCAACCTAACAGAGTTCCGCGGTATGATGATCGACACACTCATCCCATGTTTAGTCTTTTATCTCATGATTTATGATAAAGAATTCTTTTCGAAGAGAGTCACACATTTTGATTCCATATACGCCCCTAAGAAGACCGCTTATGATGTGCTGCTTGACACAATAATGTCCCGTGGCAAGGCAGGGGACCTTTACGCTTTTGCGGGTTGTCCGGGCTTCTGGACACGAGAGGGATCTCAGGACAGCATTATACCTCTCTTTGATAAAATGTATCGATGAAGGACTCCTTTTACTGTGGTATCGCGAGGTGCCTACATGACACCAGAAAATGCCGAGCAAATATATATGCGTCTGGTTAGGTTGGTGCTGAGAATCCTAGGGGGAAGTACAACTCCCTCTAGAAGTGACTAGTCACAAGGAATACATGGAGCATGTTGAGAGTTTGCCCCCATAAATCTCACGCCACATTCCATATCGGGTTGTCCACACATAAGAGGCGGTGAGCTACGTCAGGGCAGTTTCCCTTCCTGCACCTACCTCAAGACCAGGGATAGTGCTGCTTAGAAATCCTGCAGGCCAATGTGTAGAGGTACCAGGACTCAGAGTTTTCCAAGGAAACATCAATTTGGTCTCTCCCTTATAGTCTGTCTCAGCTAGACTGTTCGTTAATGTCAGTGCAGTGCAGGGATGGTGCAGTGCTCTGCTGACTGAAGTTCAGTACATTATCACCCTGCGCGACAGAGAGGGTGTACACTTCAATGCTCTTAGGCACAAGTCAAAGTTTTTCAAAGAAAAGGACGCTAGATACTTTGGATGAGATGCGCGCATATCAGGTGGTAACAGAGGCGAACATTGCGGACACCATTTCCACTTACGTCAAACACCAGTCTATGACCTTAACAGAAGAGCAACTGACAAAAACACTAATACGCATGAGTTGTCCCGGAAGAAACCATGATTACATAAATATCGTTATTGACTTCTCTTCCTGGTTTACCCATTTTCGTGCAGAACTTGTAGAGCCCCTTTTTAGAAGCTTAGACCAGCTTTTTGGTTTTCAAAATGATTACGGATTTACTCATACTTTTCCACTTATTTAAAAACTTTTTTTTCAAGATCGATATGCAACACCCAAGCAGGAGACGGAGAACCCATTGAGGGACCACGGTGTGTTCATGGCCCGGAAGCGTGGCTAGAGGGATTGAGACAGAAAGGATGGACACTTGCTACCATACTCATCGTCCTGCTTGCCGCTCACAGATGCGACACAACAGCATCCCTACTAGGTCAAGGTGACAACCAGGTGATCGTGCTTAGAATTCCTTCTCAACGATATGTTCAAGAGCGAAAGTTAACACCAGACGAGTATACTAAACAGTTTCTCAGAGTGCTTGAGGACATCTGCACGGCGTCCGGGATAGTGATCAAGGTACCTGAATCATGGAGGTTCAGGAGGTTATTGGAGTACGGCCGACGCTACTATTTGGATGGTGTTCAAGTAAGTGGGGCATTGAAAAAGGCGTCAAGATTTACAAGCGAGGCCAACCAAACAATACATACCACGAATGCACTCATCGCTGGTTTATTCTCCAGTGGCACCTCAGTTGAGGGAGATGACGAAACACCACTTCCTGCTTATATGATGACGGTGTTCGAGGCTGCACGGGTCCTATGGAAGAGGCACGCTGAGCATTAAGAGAAGTCGGACGAGTGGATGACGGTACTGCTATTGATGAATCGCTCGGTTGGTGGATACCCTACTGTTCTCTTCCCGCAGCTTGCTGCTCGGGCTTCCCAAGATACCCTTAGTCTAGGACTCAGTATTTTTCGATGGGCTTTGCAGGACAACCAGTTCAGGAAAGGAGGTTCATGCTCTTTTTGATATAAGTAAACCTTCTCACATAGATCATGTGCAACTTATTAAGTATTCTGGCAGTATCCCGTTAAATCTTCCCCCACAACCAGAGAAACATGTTTCACCAGCGTTTAAAAGAAGGACTTCCACAATTGGTCAAAAACAGGGAGGTGCTAGCTATCTTCAACACCCAGGCTCAGGCGGAAGAAGAGAAGCTGAAAAATGACCTGCTAGCCATCAGACCTGTGAGCCCCACAAACTATTGTGCAAGATTTGGCAGTTATCAAACATTGGGCACATTGAGAAGGTAATCGGGAAATTCGCCACCTCTCGATCTATTCAAGGGGCGTCGATGAACATCTGGATTGATGAAAAAGCATTGCTAGAAAGCGTGCATGCTTTAGAACTTCGCACATGTCACTACATTCGTGAAGAACCCCCCCTTTCACTGCCAGCCTTGAACACACAGAATGTGTCACTATTCTCACACAACATTTGAGAGAAGCCTTATGGGACCTGCTGTTAGAAGGCATAACAATGCCGGCTCCATGTGACTAAATAGACATTATTCCCTGGGACCAAGTCACATAAGCTATGGTGCCCTCATCCATTTTCATCAGTTGGTCAGGTGAATCCAGAGTTGATAGCTTCCATGAGAGAGGCCCTCGGACCCTCTATATAGGATCGCAGACTAAGACTAGGACACGCAAAGCAGCGTTGCAGGTTATAGAAGTAGGAAGCGTGACTAACAACATTAAAACTATCCTCGAATTAAGGAGTTGGGTGAAAGGGAGTGAGGGTCTTCACGGTCTACTGAGAGTGTTGATAGAGGAAAAGACACACTTGACCCTAGCTAGCTAGAACCGTTAACAGCACAGGTACACTCAGGTCTGCTATCACACAGACTGCCTTGCCCTGCTCTCCGATAAGGGGCTATGTGGAACGGATGCACCACTTTCTTAACTTGGTTGAGGATCGTCTCTGACAGCCACGTTTTATGCAAAACAGGGAAGAAATTATAACATCTGTTTTCAGGAAGACTTTCTTTACGGGTTGTGTGTCTTATTGGAATGGTACAGGGAGTATAGTTATTCCCACCGCCATGGCTCTTGTTCTAGAAAAGAAATGCTTCATATGGGAATTGCCCCCAGAGACTTTCGATCTAGAATCATGTACGTATAAAGGAATTCCCTTGGCAAAGGTCATTGAAAACGTCACTCAGGTTGAAGACAGGAGATTAGTACCTACCAATGTTGAAATCTGTCCAAGAGTGTCATACTCACTCAGTGCACATGGCGCATAAACTAGCCGCATGGATTATTCACATACGAGGAGAACAATTTGTAACATCTCTGGAGAATAGTGCAATCGGTGAAAGCGTCTCCGATAGCTTCCTCAACCTAACAGAGTTCCGCGGTTTGATGATCGACACACTCATCCCATGTTTAGTCTTTTATCTCATGATTTATGATAAAGAATTCTTTTCGAAGAGAGTCACACATTTTGATTCCATATACGCCTCTAAGAAGACCGCTTATGATGTGCTGCTTGACACAATAATGTCCCGTGGCAAGGCAGGGGACCTTTACGCTTTTGCGGGGTTGTCCGCTTCTGGACACGAGAGGGATCTCAGGACAGCATTATACCTCTCTTTGATAAAATGTATCGATGAAGGACTCCTTTTACTGTGGTATCGCGAGGTGCCTACATGACACCAGAAAATGCCGAGCAAATATATATGCGTCTGGTTAGGTTGGTGCTGAGAATCCTAGGGGAAGTACAACTCCCTCTAGAAGTGACTAGTCACAAGGAATACATGGAGCATGTTGAGAGTTTGCCCCCATAAATCTCACGCCACATTCCATATCGGGTTGTCCACACATAAGAGGCGGTGAGCTACGTCAGGGCAGTTTCCCTTCCTGCACCTACCTCAAGACCAGGGATAGTGCTGCTTAGAAATCCTGCAGGCCAATGTGTAGAGGTACCAGGACTCAGAGTTTTCCAAGGAAACATCAATTTGGCTCTCCCTTATAGTCTGTCTCAGCTAGACTGTTCGTTAATGTGTGCAGTGCAGGGATGGTGCAGTGCTCTGCTGACTGAAGTTCAGTACATTATCACCCTGCGCGACAGAGAGGGTGTACACTTCAATGCTCTTAGGCACAAGTCAAAGTTTTTCAAAGAAAAGGACGCTAGATACTTTGGATGAGATGCGCGCATATCAGGTGGTAACAGAGCGAACATTGCGGATACCATTTCCACTTACGTCAAACACCAGTCTATGACCTTAACAGAAGAGCAACTGACAAAAACACTAATACGCATGAGTTGTCCCGGAAGAAACCATGATTACATAAATATCGTTATTGACTTCTCTTCCTGGTTTACCCATTTTCGTGCAGAACTTGTAGAGCCTCTTTTTAGAAGCTTAGACCAGCTTTTTTGGTTTTCAAAATGATTACGGATTTACTCATACTTTTCCACTTATTTAAAAACTTTTTTTTCAAGATCGATATGCAACACCCAAGCAGGAGACGGAGAACCCATTGAGGGACCACGGTGTGTTCATGGCCCGGAAGCGTGGCTAGAGGGATTGAGACAGAAAGGATGGACACTTGCTACCATACTCATCGTCCTGCTTGCCGCTCACAGATGCGACACAACAGCATCCCTACTAGGTCAAGGTGACAACCAGGTGATCGTGCTTAGAATTCCTTCTCAACGATATGTTCAAGAGCGAAAGTTAACACCAGACGAGTATACTAAACAGTTTCTCAGAGTGCTTGAGGACATCTGCACGGCGTCCGGGATAGTGATCAAGGTACCTGAATCATGGAGGTTCAGGAGGTTATTGGAGTACGGCCGACGCTACTATTTGGATGGTGTTCAAGTAAGTGGGGCATTGAAAAAAGGCGTCAAGATTTACAAGCGAGGCCAACCAAACAATACATACCACGAATGCACTCATCGCTGGTTTATTCTCCAGTGGCACCTCAGTTGAGGGAGATGACGAAACACCACTTCCTGCTTATATGATGACGGTGTTCGAGGCTGCACGGGTCCTATGGAAGAGGCACGCTGAGCATTAAGAGAAGTCGGACGAGTGGATGACGGTACTGCTATTGATGAATCGCTCGGTTGGTGGATACCCTACTGTTCTCTTCCCGCAGCTTGCTGCTCGGGCTTCCCAAGATACCCTTAGTCTAGGACTCAGTATTTTTCGATGGGCTTTGCAGGACAACCAGTTCAGGAAAGGAGGTTCATGCTCTTTTTGATATAAGTAAACCTTCTCACATAGATCATGTGCAACTTATTAAGTATTCTGGCAGTATCCCGTTAAATCTTCCCCCCACAACCAGAGAAACATGTTTCACCAGCGTTTAAAAGAAGGACTTCCACAATTGGTCAAAAACAGGGAGGTGCTAGCTATCTTCAACACCCAGGCTCAGGCGGAAGAAGAGAAGCTGAAAAATGACCTGCTAGCCATAAGACCTGTGAGCCCCACAAACTATTGTGCAAGATTTGGCAGTTATCAAACATTGGGCACATTGAGAAGGTAATCGGGAAATTCGCCACCTCTCGATCTATTCAAGGGGCGTCGATGAACATCTGGATTGATGAAAAAGCATTGCTAGAAAGCGTGCATGCTTTAGAACTCCGCACATGTCACTACATTCGTGAAGAACCCCCCCTTTCACTGCCAGCCTTGAACACACAGAATGTGTCACTATTCTCACACAACATTTGAGAGAAGCCTTATGGGACCTGCTGTTAGAAGGCATAACAATGCCGGCTCCATGTGACTAAATAGACATTATTCCCTGGGACCAAGTCACATAAGCTATGGTGCCCTCATCCATTTTCATCAGTTGGTCAGGTGAATCCAGAGTTGATAGCTTCCATGAGAGAGGCCCTCGGACCCTCTATATAGGATCGCAGACTAAGACTAGGACACGCAAAGCAGCGTTGCAGGTTATAGAAGTAGGAAGCGTGACTAACAACATTAAAACTATCCTCGAATTAAGGAGTTGGGTGAAAGGGAGTGAGGGTCTTCACGGTCTACTGAGAGTGTTGATAGAGGAAAAGACACACTTGACCCTAGCTAGCTAGAACCGTTAACAGCACAGGTACACTCAGGTCTGCTATCACACAGACTGCCTTGCCCTGCTCTCCGATAAGGGGCTATGTGGAACGGATGCACCACTTTCTTAACTTGGTTGAGGATCGTCTCTGACAGCCACGTTTTATGCAAAACAGGGAAGAAATTATAACATCTGTTTTCAGGAAGACTTTCTTTACGGGTTGTGTGTCTTATTGGAATGGTACAGGGAGTATAGTTATTCCCACCGCCATGGCTCTTGTTCTAGAAAAGAAATGCTTCATATGGGAATTGCCCCCAGAGACTTTCGATCTAGAATCATGTACGTATAAAGGAATTCCCTTGGCAAAGGTCATTGAAAACGTCACTCAGGTTGAAGACAGGAGATTAGTACCTACCAATGTTGAAATCTGTCCAAGAGTGTCATAGACAAACTCAGTGCACATGGCGCATAAACTAGCCGCATGGATTATTCACATACGAGGAGAACAATTTGTAACATCTCTGGAGAATAGTGCAATCGGTGAAAGCGTCTCCGATAGCTTCCTCAACCTAACAGAGTTCCGCGGTATGATGATCGACACACTCATCCCATGTTTAGTCTTTTATCTCATGATTTATGATAAAGAATTCTTTTCGAAGAGAGTCACACATTTTGATTCCATATACGCCTCTAAGAAGACCGCTTATGATGTGCTGCTTGACACAATAATGTCCCGTGGCAAGGCAGGGGACCTTTACGCTTTTGCGGGGTTGTCCGTTTCTGGACACGAGAGGGATCTCAGGACAGCATTATACCTCTCTTTGATAAAATGTATCGATGAAGGACTCCTTTTACTGTGGTATCGCGAGGTGCCTACATGACACCAGAAAATGCCGAGCAAATATATATGCGTCTGGTTAGGTTGGTGCTGAGAATCCTAGGGGAAGTACAACTCCCTCTAGAAGTGACTAGTCACAAGGAATACATGGAGCATGTTGAGAGTTTGCCCCCATAAATCTCACGCCACATTCCATATCGGGTTGTCCACACATAAGAGGCGGTGAGCTACGTCAGGGCAGTTTCCCTTCCTGCACCTACCTCAAGACCAGGGATAGTGCTGCTTAGAAATCCTGCAGGCCAATGTGTAGAGGTACCAGGACTCAGAGTTTTCCAAGGAAACATCAATTTGGCTCTCCCTTATAGTCTGTCTCAGCTAGACTGTTCGTTAATGTGTGCAGTGCAGGGATGGTGCAGTGCTCTGCTGACTGAAGTTCAGTACATTATCACCCTGCGCGACAGAGAGGGTGTACACTTCAATGCTCTTAGGCACAAGTCAAAGTTTTTCAAAGAAAAGGACGCTAGATACTTTGGATGAGATGCGCGCATATCAGGTGGTAACAGAGGCGAACATTGCGGACACCATTTCCACTTACGTCAAACACCAGTCTATGACCTTAACAGAAGAGCAACTGACAAAAACACTAATACGCATGAGTTGTCCCGGAAGAAACCATGATTACATAAATATCGTTATTGACTTCTCTTCCTGGTTTACCCATTTTCGTGTCAGAACTTGTAGAGCCTCTTTTTAGAAGCTTAGACCAGCTTTTTGGTTTTCAAAATGATTACGGATTTACTCATACTTTTCCACTTATTTAAAACTTTTTTTTCAAGATCGATATGCAACACCCAAGCAGGAGACGGAGAACCCATTGAGGGACCACGGTGTGTTCATGGCCCGGAAGCGTGGCTAGAGGGATTGAGACAGAAAGGATGGACACTTGCTACCATACTCATCGTCCTGCTTGCCGCTCACAGATGCGACACAACAGCATCCCTACTAGGTCAAGGTGACAACCAGGTGATCGTGCTTAGAATTCCTTCTCAACGATATGTTCAAGAGCGAAAGTTAACACCAGACGAGTATACTAAACAGTTTCTCAGAGTGCTTGAGGACATCTGCACGGCGTCCGGGATAGTGATCAAGGTACCTGAATCATGGAGGTTCAGGAGGTTATTGGAGTACGGCCGACGCTACTATTTGGATGGTGTTCAAGTAAGTGGGGCATTGAAAAAGGGCGTCAAGATTTACAAGCGAGGCCAACCAAACAATACATACCACGAATGCACTCATCGCTGGTTTATTCTCCAGTGGCACCTCAGTTGAGGGAGATGACGAAACACCACTTCCTGCTTATATGATGACGGTGTTCGAGGCTGCACGGGTCCTATGGAAGAGGCACGCTGAGCATTAAGAGAAGTCGGACGAGTGGATGACGGTACTGCTATTGATGAATCGCTCGGTTGGTGGATACCCTACTGTTCTCTTCCCGCAGCTTGCTGCTCGGGCTTCCCAAGATACCCTTAGTCTAGGACTCAGTATTTTTCGATGGGCTTTGCAGGACAACCAGTTCAGGAAAGGAGGTTCATGCTCTTTTTGATATAAGTAAACCTTCTCACATAGATCATGTGCAACTTATTAAGTATTCTGGCAGTATCCCGTTAAATCTTCCCCCACAACCAGAGAAACATGTTTCACCAGCGTTTAAAAGAAGGACTTCCACAATTGGTCAAAAACAGGGAGGTGCTAGCTATCTTCAACACCCAGGCTCAGGCGGAAGAAGAGAAGCTGAAAAATGACCTGCTAGCCATCAGACCTGTGAGCCCCACAAACTATTGTGCAAGATTTGGCAGTTATCAAACATTGGGCACATTGAGAAGGTAATCGGGAAATTCGCCACCTCTCGATCTATTCAAGGGGCGTCGATGAACATCTGGATTGATGAAAAAGCATTGCTAGAAAGCGTGCATGCTTTAGAACTCCGCACATGTCACTACATTCGTGAAGAACCCCCCTTTCACTGCCAGCCTTGAACACACAGAATGTGTCACTATTCTCACACAACATTTGAGAGAAGCCTTATGGGACCTGCTGTTAGAAGGCATAACAATGCCGGCTCCATGTGACTAAATAGACATTATTCCCTGGGACCAAGTCACATAAGCTATGGTGCCCTCATCCATTTTCATCAGTTGGTCAGGTGAATCCAGAGTTGATAGCTTCCATGAGAGAGGCCCTCGGGACCCTCTATATAGGATCGCAGACTAAGACTAGGACACGCAAAGCAGCGTTGCAGGTTATAGAAGTAGGAGGCGTGACTAACAACATTAAAACTATCCTCGAATTAAGGAGTTGGGTGAAAGGGAGTGAGGGTCTTCACGGTCTACTGAGAGTGTTGATAGAGGAAAAGACACACTTGACCCTAGCTAGCTAGAACCGTTAACAGCACAGGTACACTCAGGTCTGCTATCACACAGACTGCCTTGCCCTGCTCTCCGATAAGGGGCTATGTGGAACGGATGCACCACTTTCTTAACTTGGTTGAGGATCGTCTCTGACAGCCACGTTTTATGCAAAACAGGGAAGAAATTATAACATCTGTTTTCAGGAAGACTTTTTTTACGGGTTGTGTGTCTTATTGGAATGGTACAGGGAGTATAGTTATTCCCACCGCCATGGCTCTTGTTCTAGAAAAGAAATACTTCATATGGGAATTGCCCCCAGAGACTTTCGATCTAGAATCATGTACGTATAAAGGAATTCCCTTGGCAAAGGTCATTGAAAACGTCACTCAGGTTGAAGACAGGAGATTAGTACCTACCAATGTTGAAATCTGTCCAAGAGTGTCATGATCCAAAACTCAGTGCACATGGCGCATAAACTAGCCGCATGGATTATTCACATACGAGGAGAACAATTTGTAACATCTCTGGAGAATAGTGCAATCGGTGAAAGCGTCTCCGATAGCTTCCTCAACCTAACAGAGTTCCGCGGTATGATGATCGACACACTCATCCCATGTTTAGTCTTTTATCTCATGATTTATGATAAAGAATTCTTTTCGAAGAGAGTCACACATTTTGATTCCATATACGCCTCTAAGAAGACCGCTTATGATGTGCTGCTTGACACAATAATGTCCCGTGGCAAGGCAGGGGACCTTTACGCTTTTGCGGGGTTGTCCGCTTCTGGACACGAGAGGGATCTCAGGACAGCATTATACCTCTCTTTGATAAAATGTATCGATGAACGACTCCTTTTACTGTGGTATCGCGAGGTGCCTACATGACACCAGAAAATGCCGAGCAAATATATATGCGTCTGGTTAGGTTGGTGCTGAGAATCCTAGGGAAGTACAACTCCCTCTAGAAGTGACTAGTCACAAGGAATACATGGAGCATGTTGAGAGTTTGCCCCCATAAATCTCACGCCACATTCCATATCGGGTTGTCCACACATAAGAGGCGGTGAGCTACGTCAGGGCAGTTTCCCTTCCTGCACCTACCTCAAGACCAGGGATAGTGCTGCTTAGAAATCCTGCAGGCCAATGTGTAGAGGTACCAGGACTCAGAGTTTTCCAAGGAAACATCAATTTGGCTCTCCCTTATAGTCTGTCTCAGCTAGACTGTTCGTTAATGTGTGCAGTGCAGGGATGGTGCAGTGCTCTGCTGACTGAAGTTCAGTACATTATCACCCTGCGCGACAGAGAGGGTGTACACTTCAATGCTCTTAGGCACAAGTCAAAGTTTTTCAAAGAAAAGGACGCTAGATACTTTGGATGAGATGCGCGCATATCAGGTGGTAACAGAGGCGAACATTGCGGACACCATTTCCACTTACGTCAAACACCAGTCTATGACCTTAACAGAAGAGCAACTGACAAAAACACTAATACGCATGAGTTGTCCCGGAAGAAACAATGATTACATAAATATCGTTATTGACTTCTCTTCCTGGTTTACCCATTTTCGTGCAGAACTTGTAGAGCCTCTTTTTAGAAGCTTAGACCAGCTTTTTGGTTTTCAAAATGATTACGGATTTACTCATACTTTTCCACTTATTTAAAAACTTTTTTTTCAAGATCGATATGCAACACCCAAGCAGGAGACGGAGAACCCATTGAGGGACCACGGTGTGTTCATGGCCCGGAAGCGTGGCTAGAGGGATTGAGACAGAAAGGATGGACACTTGCTACCATACTCATCGTCCTGCTTGCCGCTCACAGATGCGACACAACAGCATCCCTACTAGGTCAAGGTGACAACCAGGTGATCGTGCTTAGAATTCCTTCTCAACGATATGTTCAAGAGCGAAAGTTAACACCAGACGAGTATACTAAACAGTTTCTCAGAGTGCTTGAGGACATCTGCACGGCGTCCGGGATAGTGATCAAGGTACCTGAATCATGGAGGTTCAGGAGGTTATTGGAGTACGGCCGACGCTACTATTTGGATGGTGTTCAAGTAAGTGGGGCATTGAAAAAGGCGTCAAGATTTACAAGCGAGGCCAACCAAACAATACATACCACGAATGCACTCATCGCTGGTTTATTCTCCAGTGGCACCTCAGTTGAGGGAGATGACGAAACACCACTTCCTGCTTATATGATGACGGTGTTCGAGGCTGCACGGGTCCTATGGAAGAGGCACGCTGAGCATTAAGAGAAGTCGGACGAGTGGATGACGGTACTGCTATTGATGAATCGCTCGGTTGGTGGATACCCTACTGTTCTCTTCCCGCAGCTTGCTGCTCGGGCTTCCCAAGATACCCTTAGTCTAGGACTCAGTATTTTTCGATGGGCTTTGCAGGACAACCAGTTCAGGAAAGGAGGTTCATGCTCTTTTTGATATAAGTAAACCTTCTCACATAGATCATGTGCAACTTATTAAGTATTCTGGCAGTATCCCGTTAAATCTTCCCCCACAACCAGAGAAACATGTTTCACCAGCGTTTAAAAGAAGGACTTCCACAATTGGTCAAAAACAGGGAGGTGCTAGCTATCTTCAACACCCAGGCTCAGGCGGAAGAAGAGAAGCTGAAAAATGACCTGCTAGCCATCAGACCTGTGAGCCCCACAAACTATTGTGCAAGATTTGGCAGTTATCAAACATTGGGCACATTGAGAAGGTAATCGGGAAATTCGCCACCTCTCGATATATTCAAGGGGCGTCGATGAACATCTGGATTGATGAAAAAGCATTGCTAGAAAGCGTGCATGCTTTAGAACTCCGCACATGTCACTACATTCGTGAAGAACCCCCCTTTCACTGCCAGCCTTGAACACACAGAATGTGTCACTATTCTCACACAACATTTGAGAGAAGCCTTATGGGACCTGCTGTTAGAAGGCATAACAATGCCGGCTCCATGTGACTAAATAGACATTATTCCCTGGGACCAAGTCACATAAGCTATGGTGCCCTCATCCATTTTCATCAGTTGGTCAGGTGAATCCAGAGTTGATAGCTTCCATGAGAGAGGCCCTCGGACCCTCTATATAGGATCGCAGACTAAGACTAGGACACGCAAAGCAGCGTTGCAGGTTATAGAAGTAGGAAGCGTGACTAACAACATTAAAACTATCCTCGAATTAAGGAGTTGGGTGAAAGGGAGTGAGGGTCTTCACGGTCTACTGAGAGTGTTGATAGAGGAAAAGACACACTTGACCCTAGCTAGCTAGAACCGTTAACAGCACAGGTACACTCAGGTCTGCTATCACACAGACTGCCTTGCCCTGCTCTCCGATAAGGGGCTATGTGGAACGGATGCACCACTTTCTTAACTTGGTTGAGGATCGTCTCTGACAGCCACGTTTTATGCAAAACAGGGAAGAAATTATAACATCTGTTTTCAGGAAGACTTTCTTTACGGGTTGTGTGTCTTATTGGAATGGTACAGGGAGTATAGTTATTCCCACCGCCATGGCTCTTGTTCTAGAAAAGAAATGCTTCATATGGGAATTGCCCCCAGAGACTTTCGATCTAGAATCATGTACGTATAAAGGAATTCCCTTGGCAAAGGTCATTGAAAACGTCACTCAGGTTGAAGACAGGAGATTAGTACCTACCAATGTTGAAATCTGTCCAAGAGTGTCATAGATAAACTCAGTGCACATGGCGCATAAACTAGCCGCATGGATTATTCACATACGAGGAGAACAATTTGTAACATCTCTGGAGAATAGTGCAATCGGTGAAAGCGTCTCCGATAGCTTCCTCAACCTAACAGAGTTCCGCGGTATGATGATCGACACACTCATCCCATGTTTAGTCTCTTATCTCATGATTTATGATAAAGAATTCTTTTCGAAGAGAGTCACACATTTTGATTCCATATACGCCTCTAAGAAGACCGCTTATGATGTGCTGCTTGACACAATAATGTCCCGTGGCAAGGCAGGGGACCTTTACGCTTTTGCGGGGTTGTCCGCTTCTGGACACGAGAGGGATCTCAGGACAGCATTATACCTCTCTTTGATAAAATGTATCGATGAAGGACTCCTTTTACTGTGGTATCGCGAGGTGCCTACATGACACCAGAAAATGCCGAGCAAATATATATGCGTCTGGTTAGGTTGGTGCTGAGAATCCTAGGGGAAGTACAACTCCCTCTAGAAGTGACTAGTCACAAGGAATACATGGAGCATGTTGAGAGTTTGCCCCCATAAATCTCACGCCACATTCCATATCGGGTTGTCCACACAGAAGAGGCGGTGAGCTACGTCAGGGCAGTTTCCCTTCCTGCACCTACCTCAAGACCAGGGATAGTGCTGCTTAGAAATCCTGCAGGCCAATGTGTAGAGGTACCAGGACTCAGAGTTTTCCAAGGAAACATCAATTTGGCTCTCCCTTATAGTCTGTCTCAGCTAGACTGTTCGTTAATGTGTGCAGTGCAGGGATGGTGCAGTGCTCTGCTGACTGAAGTTCAGTACATTATCACCCTGCGCGACAGAGAGGGTGTACACTTCAATGCTCTTAGGCACAAGTCAAAGTTTTTCAAAGAAAAGGACGCTAGATACTTTGGATGAGATGCGCGCATATCAGGTGGTAACAGAGGCGAACATTGCGGACACCATTTCCACTTACGTCAAACACCAGTCTATGACCTTAACAGAAGAGCAACTGACAAAAACACTAATACGCATGAGTTGTCCCGGAAGAAACCATGATTACATAAATATCGTTATTGACTTCTCTTCCTGGTTTACCCATTTTCGTGCAGAACTTGTAGAGCCTCTTTTTAGAAGCTTAGACCAGCTTTTTGGTTTTCAAAATGATTACGGATTTACTCATACTTTTCCACTTATTTAAAAACTTTTTTTTCAAGATCGATATGCAACACCCAAGCAGGAGACGGAGAACCCATTGAGGGACCACGGTGTGTTCATGGCCCGGAAGCGTGGCTAGAGGGATTGAGACAGAAAGGATGGACACTTGCTACCATACTCATCGTCCTGCTTGCCGCTCACAGATGCGACACAACAGCATCCCTACTAGGTCAAGGTGACAACCAGGTGATCGTGCTTAGAATTCCTTCTCAACGATATGTTCAAGAGCGAAAGTTAACACCAGACGAGTATACTAAACAGTTTCTCAGAGTGCTTGAGGACATCTGCACGGCGTCCGGGATAGTGATCAAGGTACCTGAATCATGGAGGTTCAGGAGGTTATTGGAGTACGGCCGACGCTACTATTTGGATGGTGTTCAAGTAAGTGGGGCATTGAAAAAGGCGTCAAGATTTACAAGCGAGGCCAACCAAACAATACATACCACGAATGCACTCATCGCTGGTTTATTCTCCAGTGGCACCTCAGTTGAGGGAGATGACGAAACACCACTTCCTGCTTATATGATGACGGTGTTCGAGGCTGCACGGGTCCTATGGAAGAGGCACGCTGAGCATTAAGAGAAGTCGGACGAGTGGATGACGGTACTGCTATTGATGAATCGCTCGGTTGGTGGATACCCTACTGTTCTCTTCCCGCAGCTTGCTGCTCGGGCTTCCCAAGATACCCTTAGTCTAGGACTCAGTATTTTTCGATGGGCTTTGCAGGACAACCAGTTCAGGAAAGGAGGTTCATGCTCTTTTTGATATAAGTAAACCTTCTCACATAGATCATGTGCAACTTATTAAGTATTCTGGCAGTATCCCGTTAAATCTTCCCCCACAACCAGAGAAACATGTTTCACCAGCGTTTAAAAGAAGGACTTCCACAATTGGTCAAAAACAGGGAGGTGCTAGCTATCTTCAACACCCAGGCTCAGGCGGAAGAAGAAAAGCTGAAAAATGACCTGCTAGCCATCAGACCTGTGAGCCCCACAAACTATTGTGCAAGATTTGGCAGTTATCAAACATTGGGCACATTGAGAAGGTAATCGGGAAATTCGCCACCTCTCGATATATTCAAGGGGCGTCGATGAACATCTGGATTGATGAAAAAGCATTGCTAGAAAGCGTGCATGCTTTAGAACTCCGCACATGTCACTACATTCGTGAAGAACCCCCCTTTCACTGCCAGCCTTGAACACACAGAATGTGTCACTATTCTCACACAACATTTGAGAGAAGCCTTATGGGACCTGCTGTTAGAAGGCATAACAATGCCGGCTCCATGTGACTAAATAGACATTATTCCCTGGGACCAAGTCACATAAGCTATGGTGCCCTCATCCATTTTAATCAGTTGGTCAGGTGAATCCAGAGTTGATAGCTTCCATGAGAGAGGCCCCCGGACCCTCTATATAGGATCGCAGACTAAGACTAGGACACGCAAAGCAGCGTTGCAGGTTATAGAAGTAGGAGGCGTGACTAACAACATTAAAACTATCCTCGAATTAAGGAGTTGGGTGAAAGGGAGTGAGGGTCTTCACGGTCTACTGAGAGTGTTGATAGAGGAAAAGACACACTTGACCCTAGCTAGCTAGAACCGTTAACAGCACAGGTACACTCAGGTCTGCTATCACACAGACTGCCTTGCCCTGCTCTCCGATAAGGGGCTATGTGGAACGGATGCACCACTTTCTTAACTTGGTTGAGGATCGTCTCTGACAGCCACGTTTTATGCAAAACAGGGAAGAAATTATAACATCTGTTTTCAGGAAGACTTTTTTTACGGGTTGTGTGTCTTATTGGAATGGTACAGGGAGTATAGTTATTCCCACCGCCATGGCTCTTGTTCTAGAAAAGAAATGCTTCATATGGGAATTGCCCCCAGAGACTTTCGATCTAGAATCATGTACGTATAAAGGAATTCCCTTGGCAAAGGTCATTGAAAACGTCACTCAGGTTGAAGACAGGAGATTAGTACCTACCAATGTTGAAATCTGTCCAAGAGTGTCATAGATACTCAGTGCACATGGCGCATAAACTAGCCGCATGGATTATTCACATACGAGGAGAACAATTTGTAACATCTCTGGAGAATAGTGCAATCGGTGAAAGCGTCTCCGATAGCTTCCTCAACCTAACAGAGTTCCGCGGTATGATGATCGACACACTCATCCCATGTTTAGTCTTTTATCTCATGATTTATGATAAAGAATTCTTTTCGAAGAGAGTCACACATTTTGATTCCATATACGCCTCTAAGAAGACCGCTTATGATGTGCTGCTTGACACAATAATGTCCCGTGGCAAGGCAGGGGACCTTTACGCTTTTGCGGGGTTGTCCGCTTCTGGACACGAGAGGGATCTCAGGACAGCATTATACCTCTCTTTGATAAAATGTATCGATGAAGGACTCCTTTTACTGTGGTATCGCGAGGTGCCTACATGACACCAGAAAATGCCGAGCAAATATATATGCGTCTGGTTAGGTTGGTGCTGAGAATCCTAGGGGAAGTACAACTCCCTCTAGAAGTGACTAGTCACAAGGAATACATGGAGCATGTTGAGAGTTTGCCCCCATAAATCTCACGCCACATTCCATATCGGGTTGTCCACACATAAGAGGCGGTGAGCTACGTCAGGGCAGTTACCTTCCTGCACCTACCTCAAGACCAGGGATAGTGCTGCTTAGAAATCCTGCAGGCCAATGTGTAGAGGTACCAGGACTCAGAGTTTTCCAAGGAAACATCAATTTGGCTCTCCCTTATCGTCTCGTCAGTCCAAAACCTTCTAAAGGTTCCTGTCAAAAAGTACGCATCTGTCCACAACCATCAGAAGGTTGCTGGTTACTTATAAACTTCAGATTCGAAACAGCCCTAGTAAAAGTATACGTATCTCCCTATAACTGGTACAACATGCAGAGAATTAAACAAAGACGGCAATTAATATCACACACGCTTCATAAACCAACCATAGAAGCTGTGAAATAGTAATACATTTATTCCGTTCAGTTGCTCGTTCTGTGACGCGGTGTCGTGTGTTTACGTGCAAAGTATTAATTGTTGAAGTGATTTCGGAAGTCAATATTAAAGATAAACATGAATGGGTAAGTCATAAATACTTTTCTATTAATATAAAATATATTAGATGACGATTTGTACATAAATTGTTCCATTTTATCAAACATTGCTTGCCATTTCGACCGCCATGTTGAAACCATGATCGTATTAACTTCAATTGTTTTAAATTAAAAGTACAATTGTGAATGGTAAAAATTGTCTTAATATCGTTAACATACTTATTTACAAACATAACAATAATTACAATTGTATAGTTTCGATTAAATATTTCATAAAACTAAAAATAACAAATTGCTTAAATCTCTCGTCCACCTGGCGGTTGTGGACAGACATGGGTCGTAAAGTTATTCACATGAAATCCGCCATCTTAGAGAGCAGGTTGTATAGTATGGATACGACTTTGGGAATGCCAGTGTTGGTATATTTTTACGATAATTTTTGGTGTGGATTTTTATTTGTTTCGTTTTATTTTTTTTGTCAATAAATTGTTTTACTTTTTGTATGTGCATGTCATTATATTTTTTTGTACTTGATTGACAAGTGAAACACTCTTTGTTTTCACTCTTAGCCCAAGGTTATCTGGAAGAGATTGCTTTTTGTACGTAGTAGTTTTTATTGCTAAGCAATAATCCTTAGCTCGTTGCGGTGCTTTAGTTGGAATAGCCTCAAAGTACGAAACGGTCACCCATCCAGTTGCAAGCTAACGCGTGCATTGCTTAAACTTTATTATGGATCTCGCACGCAAGCTATCACTAGGCTAGGGTCACTTCAAATTAAGTAAAATTAAAAAAAATCTAAATAACAAAAATATAAATCTTTATTTTGGCAAAAAAGAATTGTCAAACATTTTTTATAATAACATTCAAATGTTAATTAAAAATATAAAAAGCAAAGAAAAATAACTAATTTGTATTTCATTTTAATTTTATGTTCATGATTACAATTATTAAAGAAGTCACCACAGAAAGTATCCATACTAGCATAGCTGGGTACTACGTCATACTTGATGCTTTTTGTAGTGAATGTGTAACTTTTAGTTGATGATTTCTAACATAATTTTGTATAAAAGATGCCTTATTTGTTTTGTTTTTAACTTAGAAAATGTTATTATATTTAGGAATGTACATTCACATGTAAATAAATTACAAAATTGTTCGTTACAAATGCAAAAGTTTGAAAGCATTTTTTTAGGGTCACTTTTTCAAGTGTTTGTTACAACTCGTTCATTTCTTAATAACTGAATAGTTGTAATGTTTGAAACTGTTTATATTAAGAACAAAGACCAAACTATAGCATAAGTTAAGATTTATAGCCCATTGTGCCTCAGGTGTCGTCGATATTGAAGTACAAAATGTGCCTTTTTTTGTGCCTGTTTCGGGTCATCTTAAGTGGCCCACATTATTGTAGAGCTTGTGGTGTGAAAAAACTGTACGTAGAGTTGTGTTTTTTTTATTCATTGTTGTAAAGTGTGTTATCGTATAGTAAATGAAGTAAATATTTATTGAAATAATTGCTTAATTTTTTAATGATTACATTTTATATTCAACAAACTAGAAAAAAATCGCTTCTAGCAATTTTACCACCAAATTTATAACATACCAAAAGGGTGAACGTACACATTTACACATATTCTATTAGCTTATTTAACAATAATTCTAACAACATATCATATTATATAGTTCCCATACATAAATATTAAGATATTGCCATTTTAATGACACGCGCCACGTAGGCAATATAACACTCGTTTAGGGTTTGACAGATGCGCCAAAGCAGCTATTTTGGCCCGGACTGCTGAGAGGATATAGTCTGTCTCAGCTAGACTGTTCGTTAATGTGTGCAGTGCAGGGATGGTGCAGTGCTCTGCTGACTGAAGTTCAGTACATTATCACCCTGCGCGACAGAGAGGGTGTACACTTCAATGCTCTTAGGCACAAGTCAAAGTTTTTCAAAGAAAAGGACGCTAGATACTTTGGACTGAGATGCGCGCATATCAGGTGGTAACAGAGGCGAACATTGCGGACACCATTTCCACTTACGTCAAGCACCAGTCTATGACCGTAACAGAAGAGCAACTGACAAAAACACTAATACGCATGAGTTGTCCCGGAAGAAACAATGATTACATAAATATCGTTATCGACTTCTCTTCCCGGTTTACCCATTTTCGTGCAGAACTTGTAGAGCCTCTTTTTAGAAGCTTAGACCAGCTTTTTGGTTTTCAAAATGATTACGGATTTACTCATACTTTTCCACTTATTTAAAAACTTTTTTTTCAAGATCGATATGCAACACCCACCAAGCAGGAGACGGAGAACCCATTGAGGGACCACGGTGTGTTCATGGCCCGGAAGCGTGGCTAGAGGGATTGAGACAGAAAGGATGGACACTTGCTACCATACTCATCATCCTGCTTGCCGCTCACAGATGCGACACAACAGCATCCCTACTAGGTCAAGGTGACAACCAAGTGATCGTGCTTAGAATTCCTTCTCAACGATATGTTCAAGAGCGAAAGTTACCACCAGACGAGTATACTAAACAGTTTCTCAGAGTGCTTGAGGACATCTGCACGGCGTCCGGGATAGTGATCAAGGTACCTGAATCATGGAGGTCCAGGAGGTTATTGGAGTACGGCCGACGCTACTATTTGGATGGTGTTTAAGTAAGTGGGGCATTGAAAATGGCGTCAAGATTGACAAGCGAGGCCAACCAAACAATACATACCACGAATGCACTCATCGCTGGTTTATTCTCCAGTGGCACCTCAGTTGAGGGAAATGACGAAACACCACTTCCTGCTTATATGATGACGGTGTTCGAGGCTGCACGGGTCCTATGGAGGAGGCACGCTGAGCATTAAGAGAAGTCGGACGAGTGGATGACGGTATTGATGAATCGCTCAGTTGGTGGATACCCTACTGTTCTCTTCCCGCAGCTTGCTGCTCGGGCTTCCCAAGATACCCTTAGTCTAGGGCTCAGTATTTTTCGATGGGCTTTGCAGGACAACCAATTCAGGAAAGGAGGTTCATGCTCTTTTTGATATAAGTAAACCTTCTCACATAGATCATGTGCAACTTATTAAGTATTCTGGCAGTATCCCGTTAAATCTTCCCCCACAACCAGAGAAACATGTTTCACCAGCGTTTAAAAGAAGGACTTCCACAATTGGTCAAAAACAGGGAAGTGCTAGCTATCTTCAACACCCAGGCTCAGGCGGAAGAAGAGAAGCTGAAAAATGACCTGCTAGCCATAAGACCTGTGAGCCCCACAAACTGTTGTGCAAGATTTGGCAGTTATCAAACATTGGGCACATTGAGAAGGTAATCGGGAAATTCGCCACCTCTCGATCTATTCAAGGGGCATCGATGAACATCTGGATTGATGAAAAAGCATTGCTAGAAAGCGTGCATGCTTTAGAACTCCGCACATGTCAGTACATTCGTGAACAACCCCCCTTTCACTGCCAGCCTTGAACACACAGAATGTGTCACTATTCTCACACAACATTTGAGAGAAGCCTTATGGAACCTGCTGTTAGAAGTCATAACAATGCCGGCTCCATGTGACTAAATAGACATTATTCCCTGGGACCAAGTCACATAAGCTATGGTGCCCTCTTCCATTTTCATCAGTTAGTCAGGTGAATCCAGAGTTGATAGCTTCCATGAGAGAGGCCCTCGGACCCCCTATATAGGATCGCAGACTAAGACTAGGACACGCAAAGCAGCGTTGCAGGTTATAGAAGTAGGAAGCGTGACTAACAACATTAAAACTATCCTCGAATTAAGGAGTTGGGTGAAAGGGAGTGAGGGTCTTCACGGTCTACTGAGAGTGTTGATAGAGGAAAAGACACACTTGACCCTAGCTAGCTAGAACCGTTAACAGCACAGGTACACTCAGGTCTGCTATCACACAGACTGCCTTGCCCTGCTCTCCGATAAGGGGCTATGTGGAACGGATGCACCACTTTCTTAACTTGGTTGAGGATCGTCTCTGACAGCCACGTTTTATGCAAAACAGGGAAGAAATTATAACATCTGTTTTCAGGAAGACTTTCTTTACGGGTTGTGTGTCTTATTGGAATGGTACAGGGAGTATAGTTATTCCCACCGCCATGGCTCTTGTTCTAGAAAAGAAATGCTTCATATGGGAATTGCCCCCAGAGACTTTCGCTCTAGAATCATGTACAAGCAAACTTTCGTCATAAAAGAATAAAGTGAATCATTAAAATAAGTTTATAGTAAAGTGAATTAAAGAGTTAATTTTAGTAATCAATCGTTTTTATTGTCAAACCTCCTGTATAAAGGAATTCCCTTGGCAAAGGTCATTGAAAACGTCACTCAGGTTGAAGACAGGAGATTAGTACCGACCAATGTTGAAATCTGTCCAAGAGTGTCATACTCAGTGCACATGGCGCATAAACTAGCCGCATGGATTATTCACATACGAGGAGAACAATTTGTAACATCTCTGGAGAATAGTGCAATCGGTGAAAGCGTCTCCGATAGCTTCCTCAACCTAACAGAGTTCCGCGGTGTGATGATCGACACACTCATCCCATGTTTAGTCTTTTATCTCATGATTTATGATAAAGAATTCTTTTCGAAGAGAGTCACATATTTTGATTCCATATACGCCTCTAAGAAGACCGCTTATGATGTGCTGCTTGACACAATAATGTCCCGTGGCAAGGCAGGGGACCTTTACGCTTTTGCGGGGTTGTCCGCTTCTGGACACGAGAGGGATCTCAGGACAGCATTATACCTCTCTTTGATAAAATGTATCGATGAAGGACTCCTTTTACTGTGGTATCGCGAGGTGCCTACATGACACCAGAAAATGCCGAGCAAATATATATGCGTCTGGTTAGGTTGGTGCTGAGAATCCTAGGGGAAGTACAACTCCCCTCTAGAAGTGACTAGTCACAAGGAATACATGGAGCATGTTGAGAGTTTGCCCCCATAAATCTCACGCCACATTCCATATCGGGTTGTCCACACATAAGAGGCGGTGAGCTACGTCAGGGCAGTTTCCCTTCCTGCACCTACCTCAAGACCAGGGATAGTGCTGCTTAGAAATCCTGCAGGCCAATGTGTAGAGGTACCAGGACTCAGAGTTTTCCAAGGAAACATCAATTTGGCTCTCCCTTATAGTCTGTCTCAGCTAGACTGTTCGTTAATGTGTGCAGTGCAGGGATGGTGCAGTGCTCTGCTGACTGAAGTTCAGTACATTATCACCCTGCGCGACAGAGAGGGTGTACACTTCAATGCTCTTAGGCACAAGTCAAAGTTTCACCCAAAAAAAAAAAAAAAAAAAAAAAAAACAAACATCCCCACTAAAAAAAACAAAACTTAATACACAACCCCCCCACAAAACAAACACCCCAAAAAACCACCCCCCCCCCCCCAACCCAAAAATAAAAAAAAAAACAAAAAACACAACAAAACAAAAAATATATAACAGAAAAAAAAACTACCCCCCAAAAAAAAAAGAAACCATTTCCCCTCCCCCCACAAAAACCAACCCCCCCCAAAACCCCCCCCTTTTTTTTAAAAAAAAAAATTCAAAGAAAAGGACGCTAGATACTTTGGATGAGATGCGCGCATATCAGGTGGTAACAGAGGCGAACATTGCGGACACCATTTCCACTTACGTCAAGCACCAGTCTATGACCGTAACAGAAGAGCAACTGACAAAAACACTAATACGCATGAGTTGTCCCGGAAGAAACCATGATTACATAAATATCGTTATCGACTTCTCTTCCCGGTTTACCCATTTTCGTGCAGAACTTGTAGAGCCTCTTTTTAGAAGCTTAGACCAGCTTTTTGGTTTTCAAAATGATTACGGATTTACTCATACTTTTCCACTTATTTAAAAACTTTTTTTTCAAGATCGATATGCAACACCCCCAAGCAGGAGACGGAGAACCCATTGAGGGACCACGGTGTGTTCATGGCCCGGAAGCGTGGCTAGAGGGATTGAGACAGAAAGGATGGACACTTGCTACCATACTCATCATCCTGCTTGCCGCTCACAGATGCGACACAACAGCATCCCTACTAGGTCAAGGTGACAACCAGGTGATCGTGCTTAGAATTCCTTCTCAACGATATGTTCAAGAGCGAAAGTTAACACCAGACGAGTATACTAAACAGTTTCTCAGAGTGCTTGAGGACATCTGCACGGCGTCCGGGATAGTGATCAAGGTACCTGAATCATGGAGGTTCAGGAGGTTATTGGAGTACGGCCGACGCTACTATTTGGATGGTGTTCAAGTAAGTGGGGCATTGAAAAAGGCGTCAAGATTGACAAGCGAGGCCAACCAAACAATACATACCACGAATGCCGAGCACTCATCGCTGGTTTATTCTCCAGTGGCACCTCAGTTGAGGGAGATGACGAAACACCACTTCCTGCTTATATGATGACGGTGTTCGAGGCTGCACGGGTCCTATGGAGGAGGCACGCTGAGCATTAAGAGAAGTCGGACGAGTGGATGACGGTACTGCTATTGATGAATCGCTCGGTTGGTGGATACCCTACTGTTCTCTTCCCGCAGCTTGCTGCTCGGGCTTCCCAAGATACCCTTAGTCTAGGACTCAGTATTTTTCGATGGGCTTTGCAGGACAACCAGTTCAGGAAAGGAGGTTCATGCTCTTTTTGATATAAGTAAACCTTCTCACATAGATCATGTGCAACTTATTAAGTATTCTGGCAGTATCCCGTTAAATCTTCCCCCACAACCAGAGAAACATGTTTCACCAGCGTTTAAAAGAAGGACTTCCACAATTGGTCAAAAACAGGGAAGTGCTAGCTATCTTCAACACCCAGGCTCAGGCGGAAGAAGAGAAGCTGAAAAATGACCTGCTAGCCATAAGACCTGTGAGCCCCACAAACTGTTGTGCAAGATTTGGCAGTTATCAAACATTGGGCACATTGAGAAGGTAATCGGGAAATTCGCCACCTCTCGATCTATTCAAGGGGCATCGATGAACATCTGGATTGATGAAAAAGCATTGCTAGAAAGCGTGCATGCTTTAGAACTCCGCACATGTCAGTACATTCGTGAAGAACCCCCTTTCACTGCCAGCCTTGAACACACAGAATGTGTCACTATTCTCACACAACATTTGAGAGAAGCCTTATGGGACCTGCTGTTAGAAGGCATAACAATGCCGGCTCCATGTGACTAAATAGACATTATTCCCTGGGACCAAGTCACATAAGCTATGGTGCCCTCATCCATTTTCATCAGTTGGTCAGGTGAATCCAGAGTTGATAGCTTCCATGAGAGAGGCCCTCGGACCCTCTATATAGGATCGCAGACTAAGACTAGGACACGCAAAGCAGCGTTGCAGGTTATAGAAGTAGGAAGCGTGACTAACAACATTAAAACTATCCTCGAATTAAGGAGTTGGGTGAAAGGGAGTGAGGGTCTTCACGGTCTACTGAGAGTGTTGATAGAGGAAAAGACACACTTGACCCTAGCTAGCTAGAACCGTTAACAGCACAGGTACACTCAGGTCTGCTATCACACAGACTGCCTTGCCCTGCTCTCCGATAAGGGGCTATGTGGAACGGATGCACCACTTTCTTAACTTGGTTGAGGATCGTCTCTGACAGCCACGTTTTATGCAAAACAGGGAAGAAATTATAACATCTGTTTTCAGGAAGACTTTCTTTACGGGTTGTGTGTCTTATTGGAATGGTACAGGGAGTATAGTTATTCCCACCTCCATGGCTCTTGTTCTAGAAAAGAAATGCTTCATATGGGAATTGCCCCCAGAGACTTTCGCTCTAGAATCATGTACGTATAAAGGAATTCCCTTGGCAAAGGTCATTGAAAACGTCACTCAGGTTGAAGACAGGAGATTAGTACCGACCAATGTTGAAATCTGTCCAAGAGTGTCATAGATCACTCAGTGCACATGGCGCATAAACTAGCCGCATGGATTATTCACATACGAGGAGAACAATTTGTAACATCTCTGGAGAATAGTGCAATCGGTGAAAGCGTCTCCGATAGCTTCCTCAACCTAACAGAGTTCCGCGGTATGATGATCGACACACTCATCCCATGTTTAGTCTTTTATCTCATGATTTATGATAAAGAATTCTTTTCGAAGAGACCCCTCCAACTCCTCTCTTTATAAAATGTATCGATGAAGGACTCCTACTATCGAGTCAACACGAAAATGCGAGCAAATATATAGCGTCTGGTTAGTGTGCATCCTAGGGAAGTACAACCCCTGACAGAATACATGTTAAGTTTGCCCCCATAATCTCACCACTCCATTGTCCACACAGAAGAGGCGGTGAGCTACGTCAGGGCAGTTTCCCTTCCTGCACCTACCTCAAGACCAGGGATAGTGCTGCTTAGAAATCCTGCAGGCCAATGTGTAGAGGTACCAGGACTCAGAGTTTTCCAAGGAAACATCAATTTGGCTCTCCCTTATAGTCTGTCTCAGCTAGACTGTTCGTTAATGTGTGCAGTGCAGGGATGGTGCAGTGCTCTGCTGACTGAAGTTCAGTACATTATCACCCTGCGCGACAGAGAGGGTGTACACTTCAATGCTCTTAGGCACAATTCAAAGTTTTTCAAAGAAAAGGACGCTAGATACTTTGGATGAGATGCGCGCATATCAGGTGGTAACAGAGGCGAACATTGCGGACACCATTTCCACTTACGTCAAGCACCAGTCTATGACCTTAACAGAAGAGCAACTGACAAAAACACTAATACGCATGAGTTGTCCCGGAAGAAACCATGATTACATAAATATCGTTATCGACTTCTCTTCCCGGTTTACCCATTTTCGTGCAGAACTTGTAGAGCCTCTTTTTAGAAGCTTAGACCAGCTTTTTGGTTTTCAAAATGATTACGGATTTACTCATACTTTTCCACTTATTTAAAAACTTTTTTTTCAAGATCGATATGCAACACCCAACCAAGCAGGAGACGGAGAACCCATTGAGGGACCACGGTGTGTTCATGGCCCGGAAGCGTGGCTAGAGGGATTGAGACAGAAAGGATGGACACTTGCTACCATACTCATCATCCTGCTTGCCGCTCACAGATGCGACACAACAGCATCCCTACTAGGTCAAGGTGACAACCAGGTGATCGTGCTTAGAATTCCTTCTCAACGATATGTTCAAGAGCGAAAGTTACCACCAGACGAGTATACTAAACAGTTTCTCAGAGTGCTTGAGGACATCTGCACGGCGTCCGGGATAGTGATCAAGGTACCTGAATCATGGAGGTCCAGGAGGTTATTGGAGTACGGCCGACGCTACTATTTGGATGGTGTTTAAGTAAGTGGGGCATTGAAAATGGCGTCAAGATTGACAAGCGAGGCCAACCAAACAATACATACCACGAATGCACACAACGAAGCACTCATCGCTGGTTTATTCTCCAGTGGCACCTCAGTTGAGGGAGATGACGAAACACCACTTCCTGCTTATATGATGACGGTGTTCGAGGCTGCACGGGTCCTAAGGAGGAGGCACGCTGAGCATTAAGAGAAGTCGGACGAGTGGATGACGGTACTGCTATTGATGAATCGCTCGGTTGGTGGATACCCTACTGTTCTCTTCCCGCAGCTTGCTGCTCGGGCTTCCCAAGATACCCTTAGTCTAGGGCTCAGTATTTTTCGATGGGCTTTGCAGTACAACCAATTCAGGAAGGAGGTTCATGCTCTTTTTGATATAAGTAAACCTTCTCACATAGATCATGTGCAACTTATTAAGTATTCTGGCAGTATCCCCTTAAATCTTCCCCCACAACCAGAGAACATGTTTCACCAGCGTTTAAAAGAAGGACTTCCACAATTGGTCAAAAACAGGGAAGTGCTAGCTATCTTCAACACCCACGCTCAGGCGGAAGAAGAGAAGCTGAAAAATGACCTGCTAGCTATCAGACCTGTGAGCCCCACAAACTGTTGTGCAAGATTTGGCAGTTATCAAACATTGGGCACATTGAGAAGGTAATCGGGAAATTCGCCACCTCTCGATATATTCAAGGGGCGTCGATGAACATCTGGATTGATGAAAAAGCATTGCTAGAAAGCGTGCATGCTTTAGAACTCCGCACATGTCACTACATTCGTGAACAACCCCCCTTTCACTGCCAGCCTTGAACACACAGAATGTGTCACTATTCTCACACAACATTTGAGAGAAGTCTTATGGGACCTGCTGTTAGAAGGCATAACAATGCCGGCTCCATGTGACAAAATAGATATTATTCCCTGGGACCAAGTCACATAAGCTATGGTGCCCTCTTCCATTTTCATCAGTTAGTCAGGTGAATCCAGAGTTGATAGCTTCCATGAGAGAGGCCCTCGGACCCCCCTATATAGGATCGCAGACTAAGACTAGGACACGCAAAGCAGCGTTGCAGGTTATAGAAGTAGGAAGCGTGACTAACAACATTAAAACTATCCTCAAATTAAGGAGTTGGGTGAAAGGGAGTGAGGGTCTTCACGATCTACTGAGAGTGTTGATAGAGGAAAAGACACACTTGACCCTAGCTAGCTAGAACCGTTAACAGCACAGGTACACTCAGGTCTGCTATCACACAGACTGCCTTGCCCTGCTCTCCGATAAGGTGCTATGTGGAACGGATGCACCACTTTCTTAACTTGGTTGAGGATCGTCTCTGACAGCCACGTTTTATGCAAAACAGGGAAGAAATTATAACATCTGTTTTCAGGAAGACTTTCTTTACGGGTTGTGTGTCTTATTAGAATGGTACAGGGGGTATAGTTATTCCCACCGCCATGGCTCTTGTTCTAGAAAAGAAATGCTTCATATGGGAATTGCCCCCAGAGACTTTCGCTCTAGAATCATGTACGTATAAAGGAATTCCCTTGGCAAAGGTCATTGAAAACGTCACTCAGGTTGAAGACAGGTGATTAGTACCGACCAATGTTGAAATCTGTCCAAGAGTGTCATACTCAGTGCACATGGCGCATAAACTAGCCGCATGGATTATTCACATACGAGGAGAACAATTTGTAACATCTCTGGAGAATAGTGCAATCGGTGAAAGCGTCTCCGATAGCTTCCTCAACCTAACAGAGTTCCGCGGTGTGATGATCGACACACTCATCCCATGTTTAGTCTTTTATCTCATGATTTATGATAAAGAATTCTTTTCGAAGAGAGTCACATATTTTGATTCCATATACGCCTCTAAGAAGACGGCTTATTATAAGCTGTTTGACACAACAATGTCCCGTGGCAAGGCAGGGGACCTTTACGCTTTTGCGGGATTGTCCGCTTCTGGACACGAGTGGGATCTCAGGACAGCATTATACCTCTCTTTGATAAAATGCATCGATGAAGGACTCCTTTTACTGTGATATCGCGAGGTGCCTACATGACACCAGAAAATGCCGAGCGAATATATATGCATCTGGTTAGGTTGGTGCTGAGAATCCTAGGGGAAGTACAACCCCCTCTAGAAGTGACTAGTCACAAGGAATACATGGAGCATGTTGAGAGTTTGCCCCCATAAATCTCACGCCACATTCCATATCGGGTTGTCCACACAGAAGAGGCGGTGAGCTACGTCAGGGCAGTTTCCCTTCCTGCACCTACCTCAAGACCAGGGATAGTGCTGCTTAGAAATCCTGCAGGCCAATATGTAGAGGTACCAGGACTCATAGTTTTCCAAGGAAACATCAATTTGGCTCTCCCTTATAGTCTGTCTCAGCTAGACTGTTCGTTAATGTGTGCAGTTCAAGGATGGTGCAGTGCTCTGCTGACTGAAGTTCAGTACATTATCACCCTGCGCGACAGAGAGGGTGAACACTTCAATGCTCTTAGTCACGTGATCGACTGCCGAGGTTTTCCACACTGGAATGAGACAAATCCCAACTCTAACATGTGGGAGAGAGGACCGCTAGCCTGCGCCACGGATCAGTGCAACACAAACCTTCACTTGGAGGGATTTCTGTCTATCATTGTGAATGAGGAGAGAGAGGTCATGTCAAAGCTAGCACGCAGTTCTCTTCACAACAGATGTTTAATCTTGATTCCTGAAGCTCTAGGTGTTTCCGGAGTGAGAGAGCTAGAAGAACACATCACAGAGAACGCTCCTCTAGGCATATTTCTAACCGTGGCAAAGAAAGAGGAGATTCAGGAGCTTGATTCTGACAATATATCAATATTAGGAAGTGTCATACCTCCGTTGTCGGTTAAAGATGCGCCTCATAGTTCTGCTTAGATTGTTATACACACAACCCTCCACATGAATTCCGATAAAGACCCATCATCAACAAGCTCTGGGGAGTTTTCACCCCATCTTGTAAGTTCCAACATTAGTAAAAATTTCGAACTATCACATCAATACCATAGAATTTATATCTGATAAAGCTATTATCCTCTGCGCAGAAGAATGGATTTATGAGTATGACTCGAAGGCTTTTCGTACTCTCTACGGAAAATTTCCTGTAGGACCACCTCCGACAACCAAGTGTGGTCTTCATTTCTTGTTAACTGAGATATTCGACCGTCAAGAGATCATCAAATGCATTGATTCAGGAATAATCCCAACCGGATGGAGAGTAATGGTAGCAGTGCCCAAGGAACGGGAGTTCAAAGAAAACGACCCTAGATGCTTTGGGAAGATGTCGCCTGAGATGCGCGCATATCAGGTGGTAACAGAGGCGAACATTGCGGACACCATTTTCACTTACGTCAAGCACCAGTCTATGACCTTAACAGAAGAGCAACTGACAAAAACCCTAATACGCATGAGTTGTCCCGGAGGAGACCATGATTACATAAATATCGTAATTGACTTCTCTTCCTGGTGTACCCATTTTCGTGCAGAACTTGTAGAGCCTCTTTTTAGAAGCTTAGACCAGCTTTTTGGTTTTCAAAATGTTTACGAATTTACTCCTACTTTTCCACTTATTTCAAAACTTCTTTTTCAAGATCGGTATGCAACACCCAACCAAGCAGGAGACGGAGAACCCATTGAGGGACCACGGTGTGTTCATGGCCCGGAAGCGTGGCTAGAGGGATTGAGACAGAAAGGATGGACACTTGCTACCATACTCATCATCCTGCTTGCCGCTCACAGATGCGACACAACAGCATCCCTACTAGGTCAAGGTGACAACCAGGTGATCGTGCTTAGAATTCCTTCTCAACGATATCTTCAGGAGCGAAAGTTTTTCTAGTAGTCTTTTTCGTGGGTAGGTGTGTAACAAGTAACAGCTGTCTTATTAGCTCTTATATTTTATATACTTTAAAATTATTTTTAACCAGTGTTTGGACTATATTTACATATCAATTACGTCTTTATTACCTTTTCTTTTGAAGTCCAATGGAAATATATGTCCAGATAAAATATACGATGATTTTGAAAAAAAACAGCTTCCACACCTACTAATCCCTCTCTTAATCAACTCCGCGAGGAGTTTTATGAATTCAAGGACATCGTTTGCTCCATGCTCAATCTCCTTCGGCAACAAATTCAAGCCTGCACTAAGTCAATTGATGCTATTGATATGCAGCACAGACAGAATATCCTTCTATTTAATGGTATCTCTGACTCCCCAGAAGTTAATATCGAACAAGAAATATTGGGTATCATACATAAGAAAATGGGTATCCCACATGTTACAAATGTGTCCTTAGTACGTTGCTATCGAATTGGTGTTCAAAAGGATGGTCGTTCATATCCAATTCTTGTACAATTTCAAGAACATAACACAAAGTCTGAAGTGTGGAAAGTTAAAACTAAGTTAAAGGGATCTCAAATATCTGTGTCTGAGTTTTTAACTAAAATTAGATAATCTGTTCTTAAAAAAGCCTGCAAACATTTTGAAATGAAGAATATGTGGACCTTAGATGGAGCAATTTTTATCAAACTTCCCAATAATGAACGGGCAAAAATCTTCACTGAAGACGAGATTGATACTCTCATTAAACAGTTTCCTGTTGATTTTTCATCAGCAAGTCTTAGCATGGCTTCTAACAGCAGTATCACTAATAGCGTAAAGAAATCCATACAAGCATTGCAAAGTTCTTCAAGCACAAAAATTCTGTGCAAGACTTCTCCTCGCAATCAAGTTGGTGTGGTGGTGCAGAAAGAGGATTCTAAAAGGTCCCGCCGTTTAATTGCTAAAAAATAGCTTGCTTAATTTACGTATAATGGTATTCCTAGGTATCCTTTATTTTTGTAATCCATTGTTTTATATTATTGATTTACATATATTTAGTTGTGTCCCACATCTTCTTGGTTGTAATGACTGTAGCACAGAACAATATTGTCCGTACTGTTGTCATAAGTTGTTCACTTTTTTACAGCAGTATAATTGCAATTTTTTTTAAGTTGTTTTCTTCTTATAGTATAGTCTGTATAGGAATTTTTATTTCTCTAAATATAAACTTAATGAGATTTTATCTTGTAATACATAACTTGCTTGGGTTTAGTTTCCTTTTGTTTCTTAGTTGAGGTTACTAGACTGCATTAAAAGTATCGGGAATGGAATATTTCCACTGTTCCTGTCATATTAAAATCTTTTTAATTGAAAACTTCTTGGTTTTAAAAATCGAATACATTTATTTATTTAAAAAAAAACGCTCGGTCTTGTCACAAGGTTTTGTCAAACTTGTTTAGTCGTTGAGAAAATGGAATTGACTCGAGAAAATTCAAGAGCGATGATTTATTATGACTTTCAAAGTGGTTTAACACAAAAACAGTGTGTTGACCGGATGATTTCTGCATTTGGTGATGAAGCCCCATCCACAACCAAAATTTATCGCTGGTTTGCTGAATTTCAACGTGGACGTGTCAAGCTCAGTGATGATCCCCGTCAAGGTCGTCCAAAAACTGCAGTCACCCAAGAAAACGTTGATGCTGTGCGTAAGCTGATTGAGGAAGATCGACATGTAACATACCGCGAAATTCAGGCAACATTGGCATGAATCAAATACAAATAATCTTGCATGTACAATTAGGTGTAAAAAAGTTGTTTTCCCGATGGATACCGCATTCGCTCTGTGAAGAGCAAAAAGCGGCTCGAGTTACTTGGTGCGTCAGAACTCTCGAAAGATTCCACGCAGGATCCTCAAATGCTGTATACAACATCGTATCAGGTGACGAATCCTGGATATACGCGTACGAACCCGAAACAAAAAACCAGTCACGAGTTGGGGTGTTCGAAAATGAGTTAAAGCCAACAAAAATTGTTCGTTCACGGAGTGTTGCAAAAAAAATGGACGTTTGTCTCCAAAACCGGCCATGTTACGACTATTCCTCTTGAGTGATAAAGAACGGTTAATGCAGAATGGTATGAGCATGCCACAGTGAAAAATCACCATCCCCCAAAAAAAAACTAAAAGCATACATTTTTAAATAGTAATGTTGTGTCACTTCCTTGATTTCCGAAATTTTCAGTGCCGCCCTCGTAGTAGGTTTGTTTATACTATGCTTGATATTGGTAACAATACTTATTTTTTTATAAACGTACCTACCACATATTTTTAATTTGATTTTTTTGTTAAATTTTGGGTTTTGATTTGATTGATTTGACAATGACAACTTTGTATTACTTTTTTTAGCCTTTTATAGACAAAGGACACATGAATCATACAGCCAGCGTCGATCTTATACTTTGCTTTAATCGATTTTCTCTTGGTAAACATTCTCCTGTAATATTTTGTGTGACATCTACTTAGGAACTTTATTATTAGTCAAGATTATTTTTGCCACTTTAGATATTTTAGATCATAAGTTTGCATATAAAATTTATTTATATTAAGTTTACTCTGTAAACAGTGAACTGATGAGTTGGTGATGTTTATGTTTAGTAATTGTTAGTTAATAGTTATAGTTTACTTAACTTACTTTTTTTTTCAATTTTTTCTATATATTTATTTAATTTATTTATTATTTTAGTATATGTAATATGTCTGATGTTGAGTCGTTTAGCTCTGCAAATGATTCTTCTACTTTGTCATTTCACTCTTGTAATGATTCTCTCAACGATAGCGTGCTTAATTTACACGAACTACTCAAAGGAGTTTTTACGTCTTTTAACAACTCTGTGAACATATGTCATATTAACGCTCAAAGTATCCCGAGCCACTATTCCGAACTTGAAGCTTCATTTTTTTCCCGAATATATTTATGCTATATTAGTGTCGGAAAGTTGGCTGAAACCTTCTTTACCGTCAACTTTATATCTCTTACCCGGCTTTGTACCTGTTAGGAATGATCGTGTTGGAAAAGGTGGAGGTGGTGTAGCAATCTACCTACACGCATCAATTCCTTATAAAATTGTCTTAGCATCTCCCTCCTGCTATTCCGCCTCTTCTAAGTTTTTATTTGTGGAACTGGATGTCAAGGGCACCAGGATACTTCTAGGGGTAGTGTATTGCCCCCATCTACCGACTACTTCGCCACTTTAGATATGGCTCTTGTTGATATTTGTTCTGAGTACACTCACTGTATAATCATGGGTGAATTCAATACTGATCTGTTGAAAAACTGCCCTCGTTCCAAAAGGTTTCTTTCAATAATTGAGTCGGTTAATCTTTCTATTCTCCCTTTAAAGGCTACTCATCATAATATCGGAACCGATGACTCATTGATTGATCTAATCCTTGCTGCTTCTCCTGAACATGTGATGATGCATGGACAGTTACCCGCTTTGGGTTTCTCACGCCACGACTTAATTTATGCATCGTATATGCTTAAACCTCCTAAATATTCCCCTACTATAATGCATCTTCGCAGTTTTTCTAAAATAGACTTTGACAAGCTTAGGAATGACGCTCTTAATCTCGATCTAGCCTCTTTAATAGCAGCATCTACTGTTGACGATAAAGTCACTATCCTTAACCACAATATTCTTAGCCTTTATGATGCTCATGCTCCTGTTCACAAGGTTAGATTGAAGCGTCCCCCTGCCCCTTGGATGACAGAGGGCGTAAGGATGGCAATGGCTAGACGAAATCGTGCTTTTCTTCGTTTCAAGAGAGATCGAACTGAAGAAAATTGGATATCTTTTAAAGCAGCCAGCAATAGGTGTAATCATATGGTACGTGCAGCTAAACGCCGATATTTTCATAACTGTATTAATAACTCTTCTCCAGTTTTAGTGTGGAAATTCCTAAAATCTTTCGGTCTTTGTAGACCAGCTACGTTGGATTGTGGTCCTTCTCTGTCACTTGATGAAATCAACCAACATTTCGCTTCTGTAAAAGCGCTTGACCCTACAATTCGTTCCCAAACTAGGGCTTCCATTGCTTCTGTGCAAATTTCTAGACGTTACTGCCTTTAATTTTTATTATGTTTCTCAGGATGATGTCGAAAAATCCATTTTAGTAATTTAGTCCAAGGCCGTGGGTTACGACGAGATTAGTAGACATATGGTAGTATTTATACTAGAACACCTTCTCCCGGCAATTTCCCATATAATCAATTTTTCCCTTGGTTCAGGTCAGTATCCTAATCTTTGGAAGAGGGCTTTTGTAAAGCCTCTCCTAAAAGTTCCTACTCCCATTCTTTCCAATCATTTTCGTCCAATATCCATTCTACCCTTTCTTTCCAAAATTTTAGAATTCTGTGTTTACAAGCAAATTTCTACTTTTGTTTCGAAACATAACCTACTGAGTATATATCAGTCTGGGTTTCGTCCTGGTCATAGTACCACTACTGCATTAATTAATGTTATTGATAATATTAAACAAGGCATAGAATAAAAAACAATAACAGTACTGGTACTAGTTGATTTTCCCAAGATCTTCTGAACAAGCTGGAACGCCTCCTCAATAACTGTATAAGATTTATCTTTGGGCTTCGTAAGTATGATCATATTTCGCAATACAGATCTAAGCTAAATTGGCTTACAACATGCAGAGGCGCAACTCCAGAATATTACTTGTACTTTTTTCCATATTAAATGATCCATCTTCACCTTCTTATCTTAAGAGTAAATTTCATTATCTTTCCACATCTCATGATAGGGTCCTACGCTCTTCTTCTAACAACAAAATCTGTACTCCAGTTCACTTCACCAAGTTCTATGGTAACTTCTTCACAGTTCAGGCTACACGCCTTTGGAACTCCTTGCCCGATGACATCAGAAAATCTCCCATAAGTACGCTTTTAAAAAGTTGGTCTATGATCATTTATTAAAGACAACGCATTCTACATGACTCATCTATT